GGAGGGAAATTGGAAAAGTGCCTGGGCGGCCTTAGAAATTGTAACACATTGTGATACATGCTGTGTTTTGTTGAGCTCGAGTATCACGTAGGCAGTAGTTGTTGTTCTGACGGCCGTGTGGAAGGTCATGCACCGAGTTTTGTGAATAAAACAAATAAATTCTTTTTTGGAAGTCCTGTATCTGTCCCCCTCTTTTGCGTTACCGGGTTTTGAGGGACAATAGCACCCAGGTCTACGCTACAATACATTTCATATGCAAAGATAACATTCTGTCTGAATATCAGTTTAGCTTTAGAAGTAATCACTCCACTGACTCAGAGACATTTTATCTGGTTATCAAGTTTTGTAATGATGTAGATAAAAATCACTTCTCCACGGGCCTGTTTTTGGACTTGCAAAAGCATTTGATACCGTTAACCATGATATTTTGATCCGTAAAATAGAACATTATGTCATCCAAGGAATAACGCTGGACTGTTTAAAAGTTACTTACGTGGTAGATCACATTATAAGTTGTTTTAATTCCTTAAAATCTATAGAATTGCCAATTACCTGTCTTGTCCCACAGGGCTCTGTATTTAGTCCCTTATTATTTCCAGTGTACATGATTGACATCTGCAGTAATTCATTTGCAGATGACGCAAGCTTATTATATTCTGACAAACGTGCGGACTTAACGGTTCAGATCTTCAACGCCAAGCTCCTGAAAATCCTCTTTTTTTTGGCTATTGGCCAACAAATAATGCGTAAATGTACTTAAATCAAATAACAATAATAATAAATGATAATAATTAATATAGCGTCACCTAAAACTAAATTGTCAGTGACGCTTCACATTCAAAATACTAGTTAAAATACAATAAAAATGAGCAAAATATTACAACTACACGCAAAATACCGTACACATTAAACCTTTAACAAAACATCCCCTCATATTTTGAGCTAGCCAGTACAAATACACTCAGTTTTTCCCTTTAATTGTCTGTGGAACTACTCGGGATGAAAATCTAACTTGGAAAAAGCACTTTGGCGACATTACAGCTAAAATAGAAATGTTGGTATTATGAACCGTCTAAAATATTTTCTACCCAGTAGGTATTGTATAACTTTTTTATTTTACCATATTTGAATTTCTCTATACTGTGAATTGGGTAGTCCGACTCCTACATGTAACCGACTGCTCACTCTGCAGAGACAAGCAGTGAGTAGAGGGTAATTGCAAAAAGTGGGTTTTTTGAACACGTTGGTCCCATTATTTGCTCATTTGAAACTATTAAAACTCACCGCCTTGTATTATCTCCTACATGCAGGATTTAGACTACCGTGACGGCTTCCAGTGGCATCTTTTACCTGCTGCTTTCGCCCCTTTCCCATCGCTGCAGGGCTTTTAGTTTTAAGATGGTTGGTTGAAGATTGTGGACGTGTCCTTCAGCCTGCGCTGGGGAGTTTTAAGGTGAAGTGCAGCGTGCGCAAACTGGCCCCACCCTTGAAGCTGAGACTGTGACAGCGAGGTCCTTGGGCCGTAGGCTTGATGTAGGAGTTTCCTTCTCCTAGGCGAGTTGCCAACCATGGCTGACGAGCCCCTCCTACCTTTGGGTTTATTATCGGAGTTCTCCTTGGTGGGCAGCCGGCCAAGGCTGACGAGCCCCACCCGCCCAGAGCAAGCCTGGTTATACTGCGCCAAGCTCCCGCAATCGCCCTCTCCTTTCGGTTGGGATTCAGGGGGTACCACGTAGAGGTTGGAGTAGGACTCGGGGTCTGCACCACTCAGTATATATTTTGGGTCCAGTATGGAGCTCACCCATACCAGCATCCGGTGACTATGTTGACCCCACTTACCCCCAAATATGATAATGCCACACAAAGGACAGGGCACCTAACAAACTTGATATTTAAATGATGTATCAGACCCTTTGTGCGCCTATATCAAACGTAGTAAGAAAGAAATGGGTTTTGAACTCAACAAGATGTTGTTGTACAATTAAGGCCAAACTGGTTTACATTTTTTAGATCAGAGAGACGTGACACTTTACTGCAGTTTATTCCCTTATTCGGATATTTAAGAGAAAATAATTACGTGCTATTATTTTGATACCAATGGTTTTAATAACAGCATAAATCTTTACCATTTCATGGTGGGCATACTGGGTTCATTTTGTGTCTGCATGGTTTAATTTATAAGCGTCAGACAGATGTGGAAGCCGAATCATTCAGTAACCGGTACATCTTTGACCAAGTGACCGTTCCGTATGTTATTAACGACAGACTACCTTACAGTGAACCATCCTCAGTCGTCTTGGCTTCGGTCAAAGGCCACACATAAAAATTCACTCCATGCATAGAATAAACAATTTTTGTATACAGGTATGCTGCAAGACCCCTTACTAATCACATGCCCCAAAGCAAGTGATTATCTTTATAACCAAGACGAAATTGACATGCACAGCAACTCGGTTACTGAAGTAAAAGTCACACACAAAAGCCTTTTTTTCTTTTTTTCTTTTTTTTTTCTTTTTTGTATTGTTCTCCTCTGTGGTCAATGAACCCTTGGGTCGCCTGGCCACTCAGCCCGGTCGCCGGCTGCGCCGCTCGAGCGTAATTTGGCCAGGGCCTGGATCTGTTTGGGTGGAAATGTACCGCCTGTTACGACGAGAACAAGGGAGGCTGAAAGGAATGGTACGCCCGCGAAAGATAATTGTGGCGCTACCTACTTGCAGCTGGTTGATTCCTCCACTCGCTTCCTCCACGCGTGAGGCACCCGAATGAACACGGTACTAATGCAAAACATTTAGACAATAGGCAAGGAGGGGTGTGAGGATCCATCGCGCACCCCCTTGCCCTGCCGAGCTACACTGTATTCACATGAATTGTTTAGTCACACCAGTACCCAATCCTTAAACGCACAGTCTAAATGGAAGCTCACAGTTTTCTATAAATTAACTAAATACTTGTACAAAAGTTGTAGCAATCAACTCGATTTGAACTCCTCGGCAGCTCGGTTCAGACTGACCAATTTTCCCAATTGTAACATTATTTAATTCCCTCCCTTTTCCTGTTTTCACACTCCTTAACACACCATCTTAGCACAAAATGCAAAATGATGGTCTACAATAACCACTTCAACCTTTCTTCCAATTATTAGTTTTATCATTACTCTGGATATTGTCCAAAGCCCCCCCTTTCCAATTATGGCAATCTTATTAGTTCAGTTACCCACTTTACACAACATAATTTACTCATTGAAAACATGCTGTCAAATCCTCTGACAGTTACACAAATACTCCTTTGTTCTGTATCCCCGGTTGAACACCGTGACTTGACGGCCCCTGGTTTCCCAACTACCGAACCTACCCCAGGCCATTTCTCTGGAGTTTAAAAAGATCACCAGACATTCGCATTACAGTATTTTAAATGTTCAAAATAGTCAAAACATCAAAAAAGTCACATTTTACAGAGATTTAAACTGATAAAAACTGCAATCTGTTTTATGCAAAAATCATTTTGCCCTTTTCAGAACCAAACTCTGCAAAGCGAAGCGGATATGTCACCAACGAACGACTTGAAGTAAATCTAATGTATCCCAGAAATCCTTGCAGGATGTCATTGGGACCGGGGATTCCCCAACAAGTGCCGCTCATGCGTGAGAACTGTTGAGTGTGATGGTTGCGTTGAGCTGTCCGGAGAATGGTGAGACTAAGAAAATAAGAAATGTTTAAATTTATACAATGATTTAGACAGTTTAAGTGCTTCGAATCAATGCAGTATTCTTGCTGCCCGAATGATGATCCTCATAATCACAGAAATTACCCCAGAACTGTGGGGTCCGACGTCCGCCCCGCGCTCCCACAAGTCTAAACGTTACACCATGCGAATTACCCACAAAAAGAAACCAATTATGGCAGATTACAAGTTTTGGGATACGACACTACAAGCAGTCACCAACCACACTTAGCCTACTTAGGAGGTGGGATTAAATTAATTAAGCCTGGCAACTCGTATTCAAAGTATTACAGCGAAAGCTAATCAAATTCTAGGTCTGCTATGTACAGCCGTTCTTCTGAAGTAAAAGCGAGGGCTTGCAAAACGCTAGTCAGACCTCATCTAGAGTACTGTTCATCAGTCTAGGATCCTCATCACAAGGAACATAAATTACAGCTGGAAGGGGTTCAACGATGATCTGCCAGATTTGTCTCTAACAACAACACAAAGAGGGAGAGCGTCACCAAATAGCTGTCCTAACTGGAATAAGAGCCTTTGGAACATCATAGAGTAGCCCCGAGATTGACTCTCCTCTAAAATTCTGTCAACTAAATCGTTGCCCTCAATACGGAGTTATACCAGGCCAAACCAAACCATTCTACAAGACAACACGTAGCAATCTCCTTCATCAAGCCATCCGCACATAAAGAATGCTACAAGTTCTCAGTATTGCCAAAAACCTTTGTAGAATGGAATAAATTTCTACCGGAAATACGTCATACACCAAGCATTGTAATTTTCCAGTCAAAACTTCAATCTCTCAATATGATATCAAGGGGGGGCTCACTTCGCGCCTGCATATTACATCCCTGATAAGGAGATTATGCAGTATTCGACCAGAACCACATGTCCCACGAACGAAGCGGGCAGACGTCGGACCCCACAGTTTTGGGGGTACACAGAAATGTGGTTTAATAAAAGGGAAGATCTGGTTGTTTACCATGTTTACATCAGATTATGATGAATGTTCAATTACTACACCCACCTGCACTCTCCTGCTTTTTACGTGGAGCCTAGCCACTGAGTTTTGGTAACTCAGTCTGGCTTTGAATACAAGAGGGATTAGCTGGGCTATAGCGCCTTTTTCAAGTTTCATGTGCGTATGTTCAGGAAATATAACACGGAGAAGAAATTTGCGACACCAATGTTGCATTACATTCAGCAAATGTATGTTCGTAAATGTTATTGTTGTAGACAATTTGTTCCTCTCTAGCTTTGTTCACTTACTTGCGCTGGGGCACTAAAATCAACATGGCGAGGGAACGAGGGAATTGGCTTATTATGGGGAGCAATACGTACGGTACTGAAAAACTGCTAGTCACTGCTCTCTGTGACTTGCATTTCTGTAAGTAAGCAGGATGTAGATCTATCCATATCTGTTAAGCAAAAGTTCTTATTGAAAAATACATGTAGAAACCAAGAAAGTAAACTTTGGGGGTTGTACTCCAGCATTTCCATTTATGGTGTGCAGGTGAGTTACCTTTAGAAAAGCAAGAGAGATTCCCCCCCCCCCCCGTGCGTGAGGCTGTTGAAATTTGGCTCCAGGGGGCTACAGTTTTTTAATGGCAAGGGGATTGGAAAAACAACTCAAAGGTGCAGTGATCTCATGAAGTTACTAGCTAGTATGCAGCAAGTTGTAATTTCAACTATTAAGTTTCCATCTTTTTTCCAAATCTTACAGATCTAAAATCAGTCACAGAGTGTACAGCAGATATGGAGACGTCCCTGTCACCTAATCTTTCAGTCAATGAGAAAGACATCAGCAGAATGGGTCTAGTGTCTGGTCTGATCAACAATGAAAAAATTACACCAGGTGCCTACCCCCAGCCATGCTCTACCCCAAACCAGACTGTGTCTCTGCTGCATTTTAGGTCAAAGGATTGAAGAATAGTTCTTACAGAATGTTATTAACAAAACGATTCGTCAGGACCTCAGTCAAAGTCAAACAATAATTATTTAATATGTCTTTTTATCTGATTTTAACATTTATGTACATTAACTGATTATACGTTCATGTCTTGAGACCAAACATAAAGGATACTCCGTAGGAAGATTTAAATAAAAACTAATAAACTCCAATAATTTTTATGCATTCTACATGGGATAAAGAAGCAATCTCCTCGCAGTTTATTAATTTGTAAAAGTTTGTGGTGATGAAAAATCTTTCTTAAAGTTCTCCAAACAGCACAGTTGAAATGATTGAGACTTTAGAATGAAAACAGACACTCTGCTCTCATATTGTTTTCTTTATTTGCAGATGACAAGAAAACCTCTTCTGACTTCCCAAGCAGTATCAGTGGTGATTTGCCTAGATGCATCAGTTTTGATTGTGGTAACATTAAGTGCTACAACTATGGTGAGTTAACTTACCAGATAAGAAGCCAGAAATTAACTCAAGCATAAGTTATATGCACCATGCATGATTGTCTTCTTTGATTTATATTTCTTTTACATGAAACGTGGATTTTGAGCATTGTGTCTCTGCATCATAACATAGACTATAGCATGGGCCTAAAACACTACTGGTTTATTTTTACGACTAACACTTTTGGACAATATTGTATTTGAGTCTATCACAACCCTTTCACAAGTCCCTTTACAAGTCCAATCACAAGTCCCTTCACAAGGCCAGTCATAAGTAACAGTGAACAAAGACAAAGGATTATTTTTGTCACAGCTCATTTGAATAGCTTGTGAATTGGCTTAAGACTGGATGACTTGTGATGGACTTACAGGGACTTATGATGGGCTCAAATACAACACTGCTTTGGACCCCTATTCTGTAGTACTGTAGTTGAGTCCATCACAAGTCCTTTCACAAAACCAGTTACATGTATCAGAACAGTGACAAAGGGATACCTGTGACTTATAGCTTCATGGGACTGTATCATTTGTTCGGTAAAATGGACTTATATTGATTTGCAGAAACTTGCAGTAGCCTTGACTGCAACACCACCCCATGGATTGTCAAGTTGTAAATTTGTACACTTTACTCAACCATCTGACAGAAGGAATACTTGCAATGTTGAGATCAGTTGACTTTCAGTGTAGGCTACGTGATATAAGTGGCACTGTTTTACGGTTTGCAAGACCGTCTCAAGTCTACTCACAAATTCCGTTACCAGTAAGAGGGCTGAACAGTGACAAAGGAATGTATTTGTCACATTTCATTTATCATAGTTTGTTTGACTTCAGATTTTATTACTTTCATTGGGCTTATGAGGACTGGTCATGGACTAGACACAACGCTGATGGTTTGTGCCAAGCAAGAGAAGCTATCTAGGACAAGGCAGTCATAATGTTTCTTGTGAAAGCATTTTTTTAGTTTGAGAAAAAATTGATACATGAATGATTTTTCTTTAAGGTATGTCAACGAAATTCAAGTTAATAAAAAATGGAATGGAGCTCAAAGATGTGACTAGGAATGCATTTCGCCTGATGCATGAGATGGTAACACAGCATGGCCGGTCTCATCTGGTTGGACTCTTGTCAGATGTCTTCACAGCCTGTGATGCATTGCTTGATAGGGTACAGCTCGGATGCGTTAAGTTCGTACTACGGTTCAACACTCGGGAGGGGCTGCAGAAGCTGTGGGATATGTACTCATCCGGGGAGCTCGCTGAGAGGATGACGAGGGCTCTTGTCACTGATGAACTTGTGCCTGGTGACAAGACCGACATAGCTGTTCTGCCGTCGATTGACCAGAGTGACTTTGAGGCAGGCATGAAGTTTTTTGATGAACTGGAACAAGCTGAAAAAGAAGGTACCCACCACTGTAGTAGATTGATCCGTTAACCTCACATTTGTGACATTTCAACTGATTTCAACTGTTCACACAAACGTCCAATGTGCGTGGAATTTCATATACTGCAATGCAGTGTGGCAATCAGTGCTGCTCATGGAGGCATTGGAACCTGCAGTGTGGCATACATAAAAGAGGAGCACCTGTTGCTATACCCAGATGGGTAGGGTATAGTGAGTCCATAGTCCAAATACCTTAGAATAAGACAGGCCTCATGAACTCACCTGTTTGTAATGGATTGTAACTGAATGCCAGAAGACAGAACTACATGTATCACCCATGAACCACTATCACACATAAAAGTTGCACAAATTGGCTTGGCAGCCATCTTCCGTATCACAGCTTTTGTTATAGAGGATATGCACACATGTACTCATGTGTGTCTTTATGGAACAAAAACACTGACCGGGAAGATAGCTGTTATACACAACTCTGTTTGGTGTTTCAGAGTGATTTCATATCCTTTCCTGAGAGAATAGGTCTGATGTAGCACGTTATTGAGAGCCCTCAACATAACACAGAGCTGCATGAGCTAGAAATGGAAATGAAAGCTGGAGCTGAAATTGTGGGTTGGAAATTGGGCCAAACATTTAGTTATATTTTAACTTTAGTAGCAGAGGAAGAGAGACGCCAATTTAAAACTGAGAAGGTGACATTACCTGAAGACCAGGGGAGTGTTGGATCAGACCAAAACCAACCTGGCACCTCAGAGATGAGCAAGGAACAAGCAGCAGACACAGCTGAAGGTAATGATTGTTAGACTTATGGTGATTGCGATTCATAAAAAGTGACAAACCAAAATTCATTACAGATGTGTCAGACAACCCCTCAAATAATTGATATATTTGGATCTTTTTAATCAGTTAATGTAAATATCCAAGAAACTGCTGAGGTTCTTGTTAGTTTAAGTATGTTTGAGCATTGTCTAGTTTAATACTCCTTCTTGTAACTATGTTTCCCAAGTCAAGTCCCAAGTCATTATTTCAAGCCTTTGGTCCATTGGCATTTGTACACTTTTTCCAACATCGTTTATATACTTCCTCAATGAACTATCTGCATAATTTTAATTCTTCACAATACGCTGATACTTCTAATGATAAACCGTACAATGAAACAGGGGTTTGCACACATGTAGTCAATTTTACCTTTGTGTTTATTAAACAAAAGTTATTTGTGAAAACATGTCAAATTTGTCTGAGTAAAGTTCCAAGTAATTTTTCCCCTGAGTCAAGTCAAGTCTTAAGGCAAAATAGCAACAATCGAGACCGAGTCTGTAATTGAAGTCACTAGATATGAAAAATGTAGCTGCAACAAATTTGTCTTTGACGTAAATTTTCTGCAACTTTGTACTCTTCTTCAATGTATGAAACTCCTTTACATTCCCATTTGCTTAAATGCATTGAAAAGTGCACCATTCATTTTTAAACACTTGAAATTATCTATGCTTTAATGGACAACTGAGGGCGCTGTTGTGATGTCATCCAGGGAAGACATAGTTCAGTGCATACATGTAGGTTTTTCTTTTCAAATTGTGAACCAAGACGTTACAAACATTTCTGAGAAAGGGACTGGTGTTTGCTCATTGAATTGCACATAAATAACAACCAATCAGCAAAGAAGAGAAAATATAGTCCAGCAAAATCTGCAACAATGTGCACAAGCCAATGCGACATTGAGGCTGGGATGTCATCACAACGTTTTGCTTTTGAATATGGAAACCAGTATTGAACCTATACCCTTTGAAATAGTGAAACAAAGTAATGTTTTTTAAGCTAACCAAGCAAAAGTAACGAGAAATACACAATTAGCAAGATTCTGCTTGGATTTTGCTGGGATCCAAACATCAAACCCTCTGTTTGGATTTCCAACGACAAAATCAATAATGTTACAGAATGACGATTTTATCATTTCCTTTGTTTTGAGGTCATATCAGTGTCCCGATGGAAGGCTAAACTAACATTTTTCACTGTTGTTTATCTTCTCTAGATCCTATGGATAATTCTGATGGGTGATAAAATGCTTCTTGGCATATCAACACTTCACTGTTTGTAATTCAAAGAAATGTCATCGCAAAAGAAAGTGCCCTTATTTTCCTCAGCGGTTGCTATGATTCTTGAAATGATCGAGCTGCCAACTAGTGGTAACAAAAAACCAAAATCAGTTCTTAGTATAAACACTTTTCAGATACGTTTGACATAAGAATACCAAACTTAAAGAAAAGTGTGGAAAAACAATAATATATTCAATCAATTTTCAGTAAAAAGAACAAGTATGTTGTAGCGTGTCCTACTGATAGGGTTCTGACGCTTACACAGACACACACAGCTAACCACAAATCGCCGTTCTGGCCAAGAAACCTTGGTTTTATTTCTTTTACGTTGCAACACTGTGTCAATCCAAAGCTCTAGACATGAGGCGTCTAGGCGGGGACTGCGCAGGCACGAGGCGGGAAAACCGTGGGCCGTTCGCATACCAGCGGAGGCAGGCAGCTAGCTCCCTGTGGGTCCGAGCTGGCGCCCCCACCGGCCGGACCCGCTGGCGCTACAATATGTATACCATTATTCAGTTCTACTGTTGGGGAAATACATTCACCTTAACTATTCGTTTTAATACGTTTGTAGTACTTTTTTCCGTGTTGGTAGTTTGGTACTTTTCAACTATGCTTTACAAGTACAAAAATCATGATAAAAGATTATTTAAGCGGGAAAGTAAAGTGTCATTCTTGATCAGATTAAGTTGGCTGAGGGTTTGAAAGGTTGAGATGTCCCATGAATTAATGTACATGAACTATTTTTTACCACTCGGTTTCAGAAAGATGAACATCATTGGCAATATGTAATTGCTTCCCTGTTATGTGTAGTGACTTTGATGTGAAAATTAGTCATGTTTGGAAGCATATCGGTCAGCGGCTTATTCAGGTTTTGGTACCAGGTGGCAAATTCAAAAGCGAATGCGGCTTTGGGCTCATTAATTAAAAGTAATGTTGGGGAGAAAAATATCAAAGCCTTACTAACAGTCCTGACATGCTTGCTTTTATTTTGTGGTGTTGTTTTCTTAGGGTTTTGGTGCAATATTATATAAATAAATATTTGACATATAAACATGGAAAAGTGGGGGGGGGGGAATCTGTCGGGGGCAATTTCCCCCGTCACCCCTCACTCCCAGCTTGATCCACCACTGATATTGATGGGATGGAATGTTTCTTTGTAATGATACCATATTATATTTAGATCATTATATTACAAGTAGAATCCCTGGAATTTGAAAGTACTAAAGTTTTTCCATAAAGATGTTTATTGTCATTAAAGGACTACTTTGTTTTAACTTTAATTTCTGTACTTCGGGTGTTACTTCTTTGCAAAAGGCAGCCACGGCAGCATATGTTTCCATCCAAGAAGAACTAAAATAAAGTTTAGTCGATAACAGGCTTTGTAATTAGCTTTGAATGCAATAATGAAACTTGCCAACTCTAATGGAATGAATTTTCTGCCCCCATTTTCTTTTGAAATCCTAATTCCCCCAGAATCAGGTCATACATTTTCTTAAATGTGTGGGTTGCTTGGCAACGCGTGTGGACAGGTTGGTATAGCAGAACTTGCAACCAACCACTAGAGTTCTTGGTGAGGAGAAGCAGATAAATTCAGTAGCCAGTGATCTTCCACTTCACTCGACTGCTGGACTGAACTGAGACTCTGTTCTATTGTCTGTGATTTTTCCTTCCATCGAATTTGCCATACTTACAAATTCGCCCCTGCCCTGCTCTAGGCAAGGACATCACCAGAGTAAGCCTGTTGAGCAGCACATGCATATGCTGCTGGACAGCGGGTGGCTCGGACCTGAGCTACATGAACTCTACGTTCCAACACCTGACTTAGTCAAAGGAAAGGAGAGACCGTGCATTTGAGCCCTGAACAGCATCTGCACTTAGCCTAACACATCTTCGTCATCCCTTCAAGCCACGTTACTGCAAGTCCTTATCGTCACCAGATCTACAGCTACACTGATGTGCTTGCGAAGTCAAGACAAGCCAACGTCAAGTCATCCCCAACTTCAAAGCACAGATCCTATCACAGATCGTCTTCAAGCTAGACCCTTAATTATTTTCCTTGGGTTTTTCTCTTTATTAAATATATGTGATCTCTAAAGTGAGAAATTTGTACTTGTCGTACTCTTTTCACTATCTTAAACAAATCAATTCTCACTGGTTGGCTGATAATAAAAAGGCATACTAGTAAACAAATAAATAATGCAGGCAGGTGTTATGATTCTCATATTTATGCCCGCTAGATGTTGATCGAAATGTAATGTAGTAAATAAACATCGCCTAGATTTGCTCTTACTAGGAAAGACTTTCTTTGTTCACAGCATGCGGTGTTATGATTTTTTATGACTTAACACGTACTAAAAACTATGTGTGTATCATCCCGATAACAGTTTGCACGGTCGCAAATTAAGTCCCGTTTTATTGCTCAGATAAAATTGTTGTCATACTTAATTGTACTCGTAGATTTTTATATTACTTTATTGTCTCCATAGTAGACTGCGACTGATGCAGAGATTGCAGAGGGGGTTCTAAAAAGCAACGGCGGAGCTTTGAATTCCATTCTGAAGATGCAGTGCTGCGTGCATGAAAATTACGTGTATAGGCCTATGCTAGCCTACTTTTTCAACGCAGAATTTATATTGCAGAGACAAAAATAACCAATGAGTGTTTTAATTTACGCTACTGGTGGTCAAGAACGAAAAATTTACAACATTACCTAAAAATTACCCACCATCCATTCCCCCCCCCCCATAAAAAAGGCACATGATAATCTCGGGGGACCCTGCGATTACAACACGACCCTAGCCAGCTGAGGCTACTGAGCGCTAGCGCTGCGTTTACGAATCTAGCGCCACCAAGCGGCATAAAAGGTCAAGGTTAGTCTTTGCGTATCATCTGCTAAAAACTTAATGATCACCGTCCGACTTTGCAAAACTTTGAGGTAGGGGAACAGCGTTTATGTCTTTTTCAGTAGTTGTAGAGGGGGTTAGTTTGTTCATCTTCCTGTGAATATTCTTGACTCGGCCGTATAACTTTGTCAATCACAATTAGGCCTAACGTTTGGTGGTTTATTTGGCCTACCATCATGATGAAGGATACCGGACAATTCGACCGTTTGCCAGCTCGATTTCGGACAACTCGACCTTTGAGACAACTTGACCGTTTGCCAAGTCGTCCGTCAGGACAACTCAACTTTGACAGAGAGACAACTCGACCAGTGAGATCTCTTCACATAATACTGCTGTTTTCCCAGTTCAAGATAGTGAAATTATTCGGTCAGATTGAAACTCTACAAAAATCCTCGAATTCCAGTGAAATGTGGTCACCGTCCACCTTGTGTGATACTAGAGACACCACAGTTACCACCAAATCAGTTTCAAATTTTAAACTTTTAATTCGGACGTACAGGATCGACGAAAGTAGTGACACGTTTTTCTCGTTCTTGATCAGTTTCCGGAAAAGAAAGCACGCAAGCGGCAAATCAATTTTCAGCCAGAACCATTGTAAAAAGCTTATGTTCTAATGAAAATTTCTCAGTTTGGAAAAACTTGGTTCATAAATATGTGTAAGAACTCCAATGAATTAAAAAATTGGATCTTGTGTACATAAATTTCGACTCAACTTTTTCAGCTGCACAGTGCAGGCAATCAACAATACTACATGTATGTCGTACTGCACAGTTGAAGTACGTCCATAGAGTCGGATATAATATCCAACTCTATGCATACGTCACGTACATTTCTGCAACGACTGTACAGTGAGATGAGTTTGCAAAGTATATTGCGTGCATGCACTTAATGCGTGATCCAAAACTAGGAAACATTATGCGTTCAGCTTTCAGCCAGTTTTATTCAAACGCAATTTTGAAAGTCATTTTGATTAAACAGACATTAGATGCAAAAGTTTATATGACTGTTGAGTATGAAAAAAATATTTGGGGTCACTCATAGTGAGTGACATAATCGCCCATAACTATGCGTATTTTTTTCCCGCAACCCGCCAAAATGTCAAATTGCAAATCAGAATTCTGGCCAAAATTTCTTTATAGAAATTTTCCGAGATAAAGTTTTGTTCAACAAGAAGTTTACATTTCACTTTTTAACCAGAATCTGTCTGAGAGTGTGGAACTGAAGGACAACACCAAGGAGGTACATGTAGGTTTTTATTTCAAGAGATCCGGAACTAGGAAAATGACTGTAATACATATATAGGCCTACGGGCCATTATACGTGCAGTGCGGGTGCAAGATCTGATCATTTGATTGCACAAAGATTGACTTACTACAGCCACCATTTTTATTATACCTCAGAAATTAGCCTTGTCTATCTACTACATGAAATTCTATCCCATCATTAAGGCATACATGGATTGTAGGTCAACTCGCCCCCTGACCCATTCGTCCCCTGACCAACTCGCCCCCTGGCCAACTCACCCCCCCCCCAAAGTTTTCCAAACACGTATGGCCGGACCATTCACCATTTAATAAAAAAAAATACAATCAGTCGGAGATGGAATCGGTGATTGGTGCCCGTAAAAATAGGTTCCGGGATTTGCAGCTGGCACTCAAAAGTTGAGAATTATGAAAGTTAAAATGTTTAAAGCTTGGTGGATGTTCACTTTCTGTGGAATTTGGGGTAAAAATACATGTATTTTTTATAGTTCAGTATTATCTTGTGTATGGGCCATGGCGCAGCGTTTCCTGTGTACATGTATGTTCTATGGCACTTTGTGTGCCACAACACCAGCACTCTACCATATTAACTTTGCAGACTATTCCAAATACAAAATGGTATTAGGCATAATGTCCGGCAACGCAAACCTACGGAAGCATCAAGGAGACACGATTTATGACAAAGGGGTAAGTCATAATTATGAGATATTTCTAATAATCATGACTTAGTGCCAAGTGATGTGCCTTTGTGCCAAGTCTAATTAAGACTTAAGACAAAGTCATAATTACAAGATGTAAATCATAATTACAAGATCAATCTCCTAATTAGGACTTAGTGTTAAGTCATAATTACATGGCTTAAACTAAGTCATAATTACAAGATACATCTCACATATTGGTTTTTTTAGATCATATCCCAAATGTGGCACCCGGCGCTCATGTCCCCTCTTTGGCCCCCCCTCGTATATACGCCACTGTTTCTATCTGCCATGATCTGCCCAGCTGCATCCCTTCTGCGGACCTCAGTCACATACCCAAATATTAATGGGACAGAGGGTTCAAAGTTGTTGATCCTGAGGGTATATTGGATGTACAAATAACCCAATCAGACAGTGGACGTGGGAAGCGCTAAGACGTTTGAATAAATACATGTAAGTAATTAGTGGTGATGTCCAAATATCCACCACCATCCGTGAGTCGTTCTTGTCGCATCGTTGGTTAGAACCATTCAGTTTTTTTTACACATTGGGCCGGCAATACTTGCTTGGTGTTCCTGAGGGGGTGGGTCGGTCAGGGGGCGAGTCGGCCAGGGAGTGAGTTGGTAAGAGGCGAGTCGGTCAGGAGGCGAGTTGGTAAGGGGGCGAGTTGGTAAGGGGCGAGTCGGTCAGGGGCGAGTTGACCTGACACCCATACATGTACCTACATGTATATTATTTTACACAGTGGCCTCAGCAGAGGATTGGGCTGAGCGGACAGTGTCCCAGTGGACGACTTGTCTCAACGGTCGACTTATCTCTCTCTTTACGCACGTATGGTCGAGTTGTCTCTACGTTCGAGTTGTCTCAGTGGTCGAGTTGTCCAAAGTGGAGTTGGCAAATGGTCGAGTTGTCCAGATCCCATGATGAGTACCATATTAACCAAGAGAACTCGAAAGTCACTACATGTATGTGTGACTCCAATGCGAATGGGTCAACATGTACCCAGGCTAACTTGTACCCCGGTCAGCTCACACCCCAAAATATGCTCCCAAGTTAACTCATACCCAGGTTGGCTCATACTGGAGTCGACTCGTACCCGGAATAACTCATACCCAGGTTGGCTCATACTGGAGTTGACTCTTACCCGGGTTAACTCATACCCAGGTTGGCTCATACTGAAGTCGACTCGTACCCGGGTTAACTCATACCCAGGTTGACTCATACTGGAGTCGACTCGTACCCGGGTTAACTCATACCCAGGTTGACTCATACTGGAGTCGACTCGTACCCGGGTTAACTCATACCCAGGTTGACTCATACTGGAGTCGACTTGTACTCCCCAGGCCCAGTAGGCAGAGAATTTGCCGAGCATAATATGGATTTTGATGCTCGCATTTATTGAATGCAAGCGTATACATAAAGTTCCTTTAACCTGTCGGATTTCGTTGAAAAATCCCCACCGTGTTTAGGAAGTAGGACATAAATGGCTGCTGACTGCAGCACCCCCGAACACAGATGTTCTGCAGATCGCATGTCAAGTCCTTCTCCAGTCAACGTCTTTGTCCCTTTTTTATGCATTGTATGGCTCGTTTAATTTGTATTAATAAAATCAGTGAATACACCCTGATTGAATGTGTACAGGTGTACATGTGTGTTTGAGGTTAGCATCTTTGGCACTTTTGCTTTGGGACTTCCAAATGATCTTGCTACCACCTCTTGTTAGTTGTTTTGAAATACGCCCCGTTGTTGATGACGCCTTTAAAAAAGTCAAACGCTGATTGGAATGAATGCTTTAGTCGGTTCTGTTCGGGAAGAGGGAATGTTGATCAGTTAAGCAACATGATGGATCGCAATCATTTACCATGAGAAATGTCTCAAAATGATCTTGCCATGTTCAACATGCTCTTTCATGCTACTTGGGAGTTTCACCATGATATAAGATGAATAAATGCCCCTAGCATCTAACATCGTCCAAAAAGTGAGAAAAACAGGAAAAAGAGAAAGAAAAATGATAATCCATTTAGGGTATAAGAGGGAGACAACTTATCATAATCAGTTTGGGGTAAAAAAGGAAGAAAACAATCGTAATCTGGGTCACAAATGCGTGTGTTTTCATCGAGGGTACGATTTGACCGAGGTACGAGTTGGCCAGGGTAGGAGTTGACCAGGGTACGAGTTGACCAGGGTAGGAGTTGACCGGGGTAGGAGTTGACCAGGGTAGGAGTTGACCAGGGTAGGAGTTGACCGGGGTAGGAGTTGACCAGGGTAGGAGTTGACCAGAGTGCAAGTTGACCAGGGTACGAGTTGATCGAGGTACGAGTTGACCAGGGTACGAGTTGACCGAGGTACGAGTTGACCAGGGTACAAGCTGCGCGACCATCCTTGCTGCGTGACTTGTAGGCTGATACCATCAGGACACGTGATATGTGCTGCGATGTATACATGTAGCTGTGACAGATTACAAGATCTTAGAAATCCCCACCTCCAAAAATGGTTGAACCAAAAGTGTGGAGCAAGCTTGGCCGTTAGAATGGACAGCATCCACATTGCCTTGACTGCCTGCTATTTTAACCCTCAAAGAGCCAGGGCTTTTTACCCATCTCACAGCGGATACTTGAAAGTTGGGATACGTGTGAAGACACTCATCGTTCTACATGTACTGTAACTCTGAAGATTGAACTCAATTAGATGTACATGTATGTATGTATGGTTTTGCTGTTACGGTCATTTGAAGTTCAAGGCTACATGTACATATGCATGCCAGCCCAAGTGCACTGAGCACCACAGTGAAAAAAGTATACAGTTTTGGCTGACCTGCCTCAGAAAAATGTCCGCTACTCAATAATGATACAATGTAAACGTATGTTTGATTTTCCTAAAATTTGTGTCAATAACCGCAAAGAGTTACTCTAAAAACTCCTAATGGCTCAGCTCCTGAAAAAAATGCACTGTAGTAATGTCAGAAAAAATGTTGTGGGGGCACGAATCCCCCCCCCCCCACGGCTCATTTTGGGTTAAGTTGTTGGGCATATCCTTCTGAAATGTTAACTCCAGTAATTCATAATGCTCAATAAATCTCAAAATGTGCAGTTTTGGATTTCATGAGCATTAGGGCGTGAGTTACTTGAGCTACAGTGTATGGAGTTTGCAGAATTGTTTGTCACAATGGGGAAGAGGTCAACTTGTATGCATACTAACTCATACTCCGACCAACTCGATTTCAGATTGGTCAACTCCTACGCTGACCGATTCGTATGCAAGGCAACTCATACACAAGTCAATTCATACTCTGACCAACTCGTACACCAACTAACTCGTCATGAGAAAGAGATTTATTGACAAATACGTGTACTCTCAAAATGTACTGTCATGTACTTGAGGGACATTTGTTTCTTTAATGGCTGATTAAATCCTACATGTGCATTCGCACATTGTGTTTATCAGAGACTTGTTGAGAAGTAGTTTCAAGATGTCATGTACATGTACAGTCGTTTTCCTAGTTCTAGATTCATAATGTTCTTGAATAGTTGAAATGAAAACCTACATTCTTCGGAACGACATCCTTAGATGAGTTCTGCTTGAAAGGTGAAATGCAAGCTTCTTGTTGAACAATTCTGTTCTCAGAAAAGTTCTAGAAAAAGACATTTTGGACAGGTTTTCAATTAACTCTAACTCACTACATGTTTTTTACTTGTTCATACTCAGTAGTCATTTCTAATGTACATTTAATCAAAATGACTTGAAGATTTTCAGTTTGTTTCAAAATTGGCTGAAATATTTGTCCCAAGTCCCTGATCGCACATTGAGTGCACGCACACAAATTTACGTAGTGAAATCCCAGAGTAGATGTATGTGATGTAATAGGTTTGGCAACTGTGTGGCATGGGGGACGGTATTGTCTGAAAAAGTAGGCATAAAATACCTGCAATTTAAGTTCTATTCTGTAATTCACTCTAATTCTGATATATGGATGAACATATGGATGTCTGTGGCCACAAGATCCCACCGATCTCAAGTTTCAGCTGGCTACTGATTTCATCCCGGCGGACTTCTTAGTCAAGGACATCATCGTCAGTGAAGAAAAACACGTGCTCTTCATAATCCCAGAACGAACCACCATCTTTGATCAAGCCAAGACTTGGTACATGTACATTGATGGGACTTTTAATGTTGTCCACAAGCCATTCACGCAGCTGCTGAGTGTCCATGCCTTTGTGAAATCAAAACATGGACTACAAAAGCAAGTCCCCTTGGCACTTTGCCTGCCCACTGCACCAAAAAAGACTCTCAGAAAGTTCTGCAGGCCTTGAAGAAGAGTCTGCCGTTGAGAGAAGGCAATGTCCAGCACTTGGTGCTGGATTTTGAGTCTGTACTGTGGTTGGCATTTTGAGCTATTTTCCCTGATTGTCACATCCAAGGGTTCTTGTACCAGTGGACCCAAGCAATCTGGAGAAAGTACCAGTGCTTCAGCTTAGCGGTCCCTTACACATAAGATCCTGCCTTGCTACACGTCATCCAGAAGCTGAAGGCTCTTCCTTTCCTACAACATGAACATATCCAGCCCTCCGTCATCAGGCTCAAGAACAAAGTCAGCGAACCCCTCCTGAGCCAGTTGTTCGAGTACATACAAGATACTTGGATCGACAGCAACATTTAGCCACCAAAGCACAGGTCAGTCTTCACCCGTAGCAGCATAGGGTAGCACCACAGGCTGAATGTCAAGGTTGGAAGATCTGGATTGTATCTATACCAGATTAACTTCTACATGTACAGTACATGTACACGCAGAAGCCAAGCTTATCAGCGTCCAGATGGTTATCATCAGAGAATCCAAGATGTGCTACAACCAGCGGAAGAGTGCCAGGCACATGCAGGGGCATGTATTCCAGCTATGAGCAAGTTACGTGAATGGAAGCTATCAGGATTTCTGTCTGCTTGCAGCCATATGCGCAGTCCAGCCATTTGAAGATACAACCCAAGAACACAAACCCCAAAACGGCTCTTTTCAAAGCCATACATTTTCAAAGGAGATATGTACTTTCCCTTTTTGGAGCCATACTCTCCCACCCCCCCAAAACAAGAAATTTTATTTTAGGAAATAAAAAATGATGCTGCTAGTTGAAATAAAACCACCAAAAAATTTCTAGAAAACAATTTAAAAAAAACTTTTTTTTACATTTTCTCTGAAATTCTGACTTCAAATATCCTGCACATCAAAAAATCTTTCAGTCTCAATTTTTTTTTGTACATTTGCAGAAAACCGAACTTATTCCTAGTACATGATTGTGTTTGTATGAACTAAACTACGCATGCAACTACAAGGTATACATGTGTAAGTTTGTTGACATACAAGTTGTTTGGCATATGAGTTGGTACCGGGGCAGGTGTACGAGTTGACTAGCGTTCCTGCATTGGGCCCCTAGCAGTAGCATATCCAGTGTGGGGGGACAGAGACATGTTGCCATTTTTTGAAGGAATTGGATGGACTAACTTCTGAAAGCTACTTCCACCTTCCTTTAAGGGGAGGGTAAGGAATGTTTACTCATTTTCCCCTGACCCCCGGACCCAGAACCTGAATACACAACTGCCTTAGAACTGTTTATGAGTTTCACTGCTCTGTCCTCTCAAAGGGTGGACATTTGACAAACCCCACAGTTGTAGGGGTAGGTTTTATTGATTTTTTTCAGTGGAATTGAATTTTTTGCTGATGTGGAAGGTGACTTTTTTTTCTGTTTAATCAAGTTTTAATCTGAAAATTCTTCATTCTAGACTTTAGCCTATATGTAGCCCAGTTCAAGCTTGTCTCAACATTCAGTTGTGGAGTGATTCACACCCATGGCATTTTCAGATTTGAATATTCATTGCTATCTCATCAATTATTCCCAAGAAAGTGTTTGAAAACAATTGGAGGCCCCAAACGAATGTTCTGGTTCCATCTTATTCCTCCATGGCTTTATCATTGTATCTGGAAGGTTTGTTCCCTGAGTCCTTCAGGCACAGAATTGTAGGAGCCACTTCAAGGTACCTGTAGAAGTAACACTCCTATAATGCATGTGCTTAATAAAGTGAACCGGTACCAAGATGCATACTTGTACAAAATGTTGGAAGTTTTACCCCTTCCCCAAGTACATTTACATTTATGCCGTATGCAGCCCCATGCAACCTCTTTCCCAGTATAAACATGACACTGAATTAACGGTGTTTCTTGTTAACCTCTTTTGAGCTTTCTTTGGAGTTTTGTGACATGCGTGTAGCCCTGAGTTGCCAAAAATTTGTAACAAATTTTTTTTACATCAATCACCGTTTGACATGTAGTTACCCATGCATGTGTTATACAGTGGACAGTTATGTAAGGCATTATACCCCCCCTCTGCTGTACACAGAGTATAAATGACCCTCCTTTTCCCTTTCTGTACTGCGTACATATCATATGAATGGCCACTCCCCCTCCCCTTGTAAGTACATCTGGATTTTTATGATGTGTTTTCAACATTGCATTTACCAGATCTGGCACCCTAAGCTTGCCTTCCATGTTCAGTTTAGTCCTAGAATCTATTTTATAGCTCATGTTTCTAGACTTCTAAACTAAGCATACCAAATGAGCACAATTCACCAAGTTTCTTGTTCCCCCCCCCCAGTTACAGGTGTAACCATGTCTGCAGCATCTATGGTAGGTCGCATCATCCTTGTGACCGGAGCCTCGGATGGCATTGGTAAACACACAGCCTTGAAGCTGGCTCAGATGGGTGCCACGGTACTCATGCATGGCCGGAATACAGAGAAGATTCACCATGCCAAGAGGGAGATCGCTGAGAAGACAGGTAACAAGACTTTAGAGGTCTACACTGCAGACTTGGCCTCCCTCAGGGAGGTCCATCATCTGTCTGAGGACATTCACAGCAAGTACAGCCGCTTGGACGTCCTCATTAACAATGCTGGTGTGTATATGCTCAACAGGGAGGAATCCAAGGACGGCTACGAAATGACATTTGCTGTCAATGTCCTTGCACCATTTCTGTTGACATCTCTCCTTTTGGACCTTTTGAAGGCTGGCAAGTCCAGCCGTATCGTCCATGTCAGCTCTATCTCACATCTCAATTGCAACAAGGTCAACTTGGATGACCTGAATTCAAAGTTGGATTACCGTGACGGCCGGCCTGCTTATGCCCTTTCCAAAGTGTGTGAGATCATGTACACGTACAAGATGGCAGAGCTTCTACAAGATGCTAACATAACTGTGAACTGCCTGGACCCAGGCACAGTCAACACTAACATGCTTTTGAAAAGTTGGGGTCCAGTCGGGATTCCTGTTGGAGAAGCCAACTTTGTGTACCAAACAGCTGCTGATCCTGCACTGGATGGTGTCACAGGAAGATATTTTGTGGATAACAAGGACACTAAATCCTCTGCCATCTCATATGATAAAACCTTGCAGGACAAAGTTTGGGATATCCTGGTTAAGTTGACAGGAGCCACATTCTAGAGAACAATGCTGCCTTTTCTGGAATAGATAATGTACTTAGCTTTCGAAAGTAATTTTTTAGCGAGACTATAAGGTGGTAGGGATGACATTTAGATAAATATCAGGTAAAAAGTAAAAACCATTGATTACCTCGACCAGTAAATTGAAATATCCTTGAAGTAATTTTTACAGTACTCCATGAAACCTACATGTATGTTTGTACCTTTTCATGTCTGTTTCATTCCGTGTTAATTCATACACCTGCCCTTATTTCACTTAGATTTGCCAAGAAAAATTTATAAAAAGTACCCAATTGAACCAAATGAAGGGAAATCAACTTTCAAGCTGAAATTTGATTTTCCTTTGCTTGGTATACCATGGTGTCTTTATATAAATTTTCCAGACTAATCCGAGTTGAGCCATACCCTCACTTTGTTTGATTTGACACACAGCAATCCATGTAGGAACCTTAGTAATCTTCATCAGAGTAACAGGTGAAGGATTTAGGGCTGTGAGGGGTAATGTTTAATCAACATTAGAAGTAAAGTCACTAGTGCAAGAACGTCACTGGTATAACTTACTCAGTTGAACAGAATGCCCAGGCAAGACACCAGTGCCTCATGTACATGTAGTTTATATTAGATTAATTTTAAAGAATCTTGATCACTGTCTTTGACGTTAGGCAGTGTGTAATCTGTCACAATTTGTGTAAAGATTATTGTTTGGGCATTCAGGAGGCTTTGAGTTTAAAGAGGCTAGCTAGCAAGCCGTTGGTTTGCTTTGTGAAGGAGAGTGCCAGCACTACATTTGTTTAGAGAGAGAACATTTATAAATCATATTTTTTCACTTCAATGCATCTATGTCTGTAAATTTTAAACATTTGAATGCATTCATTCATTAATGAATGTACAATAATATATTCAATTAATATGTAACTTGCAGGGATGATACATCAATATGATATTTGAAAGAAATCACCATGTTAATACAAATTGGGTTAAATGGCAACAGTTAGGCATCAGGTGAAGCAAAGACACTTTTATACCCAAACCAAAGGACAGTGAAGCATACCGGTACTACCAAGGCACTGTAACATGCATTGCTGGACTCACAAAACAGAACAGAAATATAAAGTGGTAAGAACAAGGCCTCATTATGAGTTTACCAATAGCACCTTTTATGAATAAGTAGTAAGCTGAGGTATCATGTTATGTTTTTTTGCACATTTAAGAGAACAATTTGATATACATGTACTTCAGTTAACAAGAATCGTCTGAAAATAATGGTCAGTTCTTACATTGGAGGAATTTGCAGGACTAAGAAGTTATAGAAAAGTATAGTGAGTTCATTGTACTTGTGGGGACATTCCCCTTGTAATTTGAATACAAATGATGATGTTTATTTCCTTCATAGTGGAGGATTTCAGGAGAACTTTTGTGATGCAAAATAATTATACAAGTGATGGAAAATGCAAAGCATACTGGACCTCATCAAAATTGTACCTTCATTCTGTACTATAAATTGAAAGAAATGGCCCTAATAGAAAAGAAAATATGACAGAATTATGACTAAATTTTCAGGAACAACTCGTACATGTAGATTAAATTTGTCTAGTGATTAAATACAAACTCATAGAGCCGAACAAAAGTTTACATTGTGTCGGATATGAAGTGCTTTTCAGGGGATGTGAGTTGTACTTCAGTATCTTTCAAAGCTTTCATCAGAAAGATGACATTTTCATTTTTTTTTCTTCATTGGAAAGTATGTATAGTACTCAAAGTATGCAACTGGTGCTCCCGAGCTAGTGTTTACAGAGAGGGGATAAAGAGGCGCCTTTTTTAATCCAAAAGGCGTGAATTTAAAACAATACCGGAGGATGGTGCACCCGAAGTGGTAATTGAATGTGTTGACGAATGGGGCTTTGGAGCAGGATTTATTTGACATAGTTAGCATACAGCGTTTTCATCCGTGCAGCGTGTAAAGATTAAGACTGCATTCAGTTCCAATACAGATAAAAAGATGTGAACGCCCAATCTGAAAGCGGATGCATTCACATTGATACTGTAAAGTGTTTGTTCAGATCGATTATTCCGTAATCTGACAAAAATGCAACAAAATTGACTTAGTCTTCGACTCGTTTAAATGCAGTGACCTTATCTGCTATCTTCAGTAAATTTGCAATGGTAAGATTTGTAGTGCACGTTTCATCCAGTCAATTTGACCCTTTACATCTTTATGTTTCATCTTTATTTCATAACCATAATATGAAAAGGGCGTTTGGTAATTAAGGCTTTCCCACAAACCAATATTTCTGTTTCTACTTCCAAACTATAGCGCAGGCTTTTCTGCCGTTCATCGGCCATTATAATTATTACGTGAGGTCATATAAAAATTGCAGGTTAAATACTGTGGAGCCTTTACATCGAAGGGTTCGTCAGTTTTTGCCCGTCCAAGAAACTCTGATATACCAAATATTTAACCTGATGACGTCACCTTTTCCAAGCTAAATTTTGTTGACAATGTACGTTTAGATCTTTAACTGTGTCACACAATAATTTTACCATAAAGTTATTGACTTCCTAAATTAGCTTTCAAGTTCGTGTTTATCTGATATTGACCTTCGATCCGACACCCGTCTTTATTGCAGTATACAGCAATTTTTAGCAGGACTATCTCTAAACGTGCCAAGTATTTTTCCCATCCCGAAAAAGAGATACATGCACATGTAACCGTATCTCTATGAAATGTTCCAACACAAGAGACATCTCTCTCCGAATGGGGTATCTGTCGGGATACTTCACACGCCGTTGGTGAGCGACTTTTTCTTGCTATGTGGACTGCTCAGTTTGGATATTACACATGCACGCTTATGTATCATGAGCAGAGATCCCGGAAGATGGGGATGTGTCCCCCGTTGACCTGGGGTGATTACCAAGATAATCATTGCCTCATAATTGTCCAGTCACTGACCTTATGCACACCCTTACGTCTTTCCTGGACCCTGCGCCGTGTTAGTCACGCTCCGCACAAGGATGACCTTTCAGAAACCCTCCCCCCATGTGATGAAATATGTGCCTGTGCTATAGTATGCATGGGCAAGATCAAGTGTTCTGATGAAGTTCACATTTTTCTTCCAGTTCAGGAATATGTGTCCACGCTGGTAATTTCATGACGTGACAGGTTACAATAGCCAAATATCCACGTATTCAACATTTCAGGATCGGGGGAGGGGGCGGGACAATGCCCCCCCCCTAAATTTAGTTACCTATATAACACAGTGAGAGAAATGTGATTTATGTTTGAATCGTTTCGTTTCCTTCCCTTCCAAACGGGCGTAAAACGAACTTTATCCCCGCCCTTCATATTAGAAAGATGCTAAAAAGGTTACGCAAAGATATTTCCAATTTTCAGCCCCACCATACGTTTTGCCCGTCCCATCAAAAATTTGGTTCTGGATCTACCCTTGACAATGGAGGAGATATAAAGAAAAAAGAGGATTCGATGATCTTTTGAACAATTGGAAAACAATATAAGGACTTCATCACTTTTCGGATTAAACAGCCGGGATCAAATCACTTGAAAGAAATCATCACAAGGCGAAGGTCAATTGAGTCACATTATAAGAAGCGAAGCTTATCTCGATGAGACTAATCGCACAATGCAGTAAAAGAGAATGGGTTGCAACAGATTGGACCTCGCATTTTTGTTTTGCTTACAAATTAAAGATAAGTGGGGCCACTCTTACAATAGCCCCTAAAACACAATGACGGCCCTCTTTTTTTACACTGTGTGCTTTCCTATTATGGGGACCTTATGGATCGTGTCCACTGTCGGAGGAAAGCACGCATGTAAACAAAGTGTGACGTTATTTACTGACTAACAATTTATTCCCCTGTGCTATGAGCAAGCTTGGTGAGACAGGACTATTTCTATGGCTAAGATTCTCCGTGCTCGGAGCCATATAGAGAGAGAGAGTAGGGCCAACTACATGTACCTGTACTTTCAACCAAAATATGTGTGCAGTACAGCATCACATGCTATTGTGTGTTCATTGTCCATGTGCTCTGATGCATAATCAATTATTTTGAGACACTATGTCGCAACTGGGTCTTTCCGTGTTTACAGTAGTGCGTCATCAACGGTGAAAGGCTAAACATTGTTGACGTGTGATGGCGCGGTTTTGGACCCAATGACAAAAATGCGCATGAGAATTCTTATTTCAAATAAACAACACAGAAAGAATATTTTAGCGTCGGTGCCAGACGACCAGTTGAGGCGCTAGCACGGATGCACGGTGGGGTAGGCCCTACTGTCAGCCCCCGACCTGTTGAAGCGGCGTCCGCGCAGTAGCGTTTTTCTGAATCACATTGTTTTGGGGAGTGTTCATGAGTTTATACCAGACAGGAGTGACGGACTGATAATTAACGGCCAAAAGCCACAAAAACCCAAGTAGAAGACTTCACAGTTTAGACCCGTAAAGGCGGTTAATGTTACAATATTTGAATGCAGAGATAGCGCTGTTTTATCCAGACCACAGCATATCTTCACCATATCTCCCAATTTTCACGTAGTCCAAAGCCAGAGGTGTAACTCCGGGGAAAGGAGTGCAAGGGGGGAAATTGTAGTGAGATGAACACTTTAATAATTTAGAAGCAAAACTGGAAACGGCTTTCAAGTTCACAACTGGCGAACTAACCACGTATTGCAGTATACTATTTTCAAACATTCATCCAATTTGAAAGTATCGTGTGACACTTTGACAAGAACCAAAAACGTGTAGGCCTATACCAACCCCTTGTGCCCCAGCCTTCAAACCTATTCGGGACACGAAATGGGATATGAAATAGCTTTTCACAGCTATAAAGTCTATTCCTCATTCAGAAACACGTCAAGCATTTTCAAATTCAGGTTTGGGCACCCGGCATTTAAGTAAAAAGGGGCGCCCCCAAATAGAATTGATCTCCACGCATTTTATTGCAATAATTTGTGAGAATTTCTGATTCACTCCGTTAGTATTATATGAGAACAAACAAAAAATGGGAAAAGGGAAAATCTCCCTTAAACAAACAACGGCAAAAACCTAGAAACCAAAAAATGGAAAATGGGGGAGGGTGCCTTCTGGTAAGCCCCTCTGGATCCCTTTCTGCTCATATATAATCAAGATTTTTAAAAAATGCCTCCGTCATTAACTTGACGTGGACTTGACATCTGCTAAAAGATAAGCGAATGGAAAGAAGTAGGTTACAAAGAACACAAGTCAATTTTATTCATACAATCAAAGTATATCGGTTGAAGCCGTCTTCACAATCAATTCAGGTACAAAACAAGTGATAGGTGTATTTTTTTACTATTATAATTACGTGATATTTATCTTTAAATTCTATTTTCAAGAACACTTTGACATTTATACAGAGGATGAAACTCCAGACAAGAAATTCCTTTCGAGTATTCTTCCTTTAAAACAACACAACAAAACATCAGCTTACAACTGCTGAATAATTCAAATCAAAGTAGAGATGCTATATTAAATAATACCAAATATTAGTGTTCTGTACAATATAGTTTACATTTACGCGTAATTCAAACTTGGTATTCCCCGATTTTGTACAAAGTACATTGGCATAAACTTGAAAGTTCATTTACGAGGTTGTCATACACAGTGAAATGTCAACAATTACATCATTTGTTTGCAACAATCGTTTTCTCTCAGACTTTCTAATTTCCACAATATCATTTAAAGGGATGCGCGTCTTCCAAGGGTGTGACATCAACAAATTCTCACAACACTGGAATTTTTTTTTAAATGATGGTTTGAGTGGAAATATTACATGTTTACCTTTTTATGCTTGAATCTATATCAAGAACCAACTTCATCTTTCTTCACCACACAGACTTGCTCAGTTCAGGAAAGTATTGTGAGGTAAAAGCAAACTGTAACGGCCAACAGGCATTTTCGGTCACCTTCTTGATCAGCACTAACACTTAATTGCTAATCGAAAGTTTTTGGGGGCAGTAAATCTGTTTGGTTCAGCTTAGTGAGAGCAAGTAATGGATTAAAACACTGAATCTGACATTGAACTCAACCAAAAATACTGATTTTCCACACAGTAAATCGTGCTGGTACCAGGAGACTCCTGGTAAAACCTCCTGCTTCATAACTAGTGTTTTATGAAAATGGTTATATGCAAGACTCGTTTTGGTCATTTTTACATGGTTCTTTACACTTATACATAGTAAAATAATAATTAGTTCATAAATAAACTCTGCTCTATTTTCAAGAGGACATGTTGGTAATTGACTAATAAATTCAAACCCGAACCAATGATGATCGCTGTATTACCTAGGCTAAGCAATAAACATTCTAATCTATTATAGTCCTCTTCTGTACAAGAAAATAGTTGCCTATTTGTCTTATATGTATAAAATGTCCCGTTCTTGTAATCATGAAACTTCAATTTTGTAAAATGTTGTAACTAAGTATAGGCCTTGAAGCCATGTACCCTGTGTACTTTACCAGAAATTTTTCAAAATTTAAAAACGGCAAGACTGAAGTCGGAATCTTTTTTTGGGAGGCGGGGCAGGGGGAGGGGTATACCATGCTACAGAAGAGAACTGGGGCATTCAGAACAGATTCAGTCAAGACAGAAGCTCCACAATTGTCTGACAACATATTTTGGAAAAAAATGTCTCAAAATGAGCTGCCCTGGTGGAGACTACTTCGTTTTTCATGATATTTATGGGAGCGGAATTGTTTTAAAAACAAGCAGGGTTTGAATATTTTTAGCAAAGCGGTATATTAATATGTTGTTTTCTATATAGACAGGCAAAAATATTGTCGAGAATCTTCAACCCAACGGTCCTCAATCCTTCACTTACAGGACTGAGGACTGTTAGCATTTAAGGGAAAAAAAGCAGACACCGAGGCATACAGCAATGTGAGGACACTCGTCAACTTGTGCCAGTCTCTCTTTGTCTACAAAAACCTTTAATTTCTCTCCACTTGCTCATTTCAAAATTTTAACTTCTTGTTTTCCATCAATCTGAAGTCTTACCTAATTTAAGGCAACGTATTTTGTACACGATCAATTTATGTACATCAATTTGTTTGCTGAAACAACATAGAAGCTGTCTGTGGAAGATGACCATGTTTGCATACAAACACAAGGCCAGACTGCAAACATGGTACATTCAAACGAAACTTGGTGCTTGCTCATTGTCTTGATCTGGGTAGTTTCCTTCATACTGACAACCAACCTATGCATAATTACTGGAGATAATAGTACTGAGACAATATGCTAGGAAGTTATTACAAGTATTGGTAATTGAAGATCTTTTCTCTGGACTCTGCAATGCTCTCAAAAATGTTAATTCAAACTACAAGTGCATATACCAGATACTGTCTTCTGAAATGAACAGGCTTCAGTGTTTCATCAGGTTTGACTTCAGAAACTTCATAAGAATTAAATATACCACATAGAAATTCAATAAGTTAATTAGCTTAGTTTCTGGATATTTGTTTCAAACATCTTGGGTAATAACTATTATGTCTATAGAAATGTGTACAAAAGGTCATGCCACCAAAGCTTTCTTAGAATTTAGTCAAAAACTCTGATGCATAGAATGTGAAATGGAATCCTTTGACATAACCGCAATGCTACTACTTGCTGTACACAGATAATCTGGATAGCCATGAGGCAGTGTTTGACATGTAAGTCAAGGATTATATGGACAACTCTTGCATGAAGACCAGCCTAATGTATGTGTCGTTCATTTGCCAACACTGCCCGGCATTCCATTGCCTTTTACAGTTTTTGCAGAGAGTTCACAGGAGTTTTCCTCCATTGTAACAATCTGTTCAGAAATGGTTTCGCTTGCCTAACTGGAGATCATTTTTGGCTTTAACCTTTTGCTTGACTCTATGCACTGTCTCTCCAAGTGGAACGGAGAAGGTGCTGAGATGTCCACTGGGCCCTTATCAATTCCCTTAGCTACAAATGCCTCGTGTTTATGTCATGGTGTAAGAGTGTGGACAGCTTTCTGTCTAATTTGTATTGATTATCCTATCCAGTGTCCATTAAGGATCTTGTCTTTCAAGCTCCCAGGTGTAAAGCCAAGGACATCAAGTTTTTCATCAACAAGAGATCCCCTCACAAAAGGAAAATCATGTCTCATTCAGCTGGTGTGAATTAAGGTATGCTCAGCAAAGTGCTGAAGCCCTCCTAAGAATTTGTCCCTCACACAAGTTCAATTCTCAAGGGCATCAAATTGTTAGCAGTGACTTGCTGGGAGCATAAATCATATGAGAGATTTCAGCAATACTTCAATGCATGTATGTATTTTAACAAATAACCTTTTAACATAACACAACATGCAAATGTTGCAAAATTAGGCAAGACCAGCTTAAGTAAGCTTACCGATGGTTCTTATTTTGCCCATATCACTATGTAACTGTATGCACAGGGAACACATTATTCGTGCAGCATCAAAACTTTTACTGAGAATAGACGCAAAACATGAAATGGTTTCTGCCAGGCATCCATATTTGTCACAGGCCTAAAAATGTTTTTTAAGTCAAGAAACCCAGGAGGGTCAAAATTCAATGCACTCTGAAAGCACTGCCTCTTTGATCTTAAGTGGAACATGCAGAAGTGGTGACGCTGGTTTGATGATTGAATGCAAGAGCATTAAGATGTGCTAGAGTTCACAGGTTCACTGAAGCAAAGTCATATTGTACTTTATCTTCCTTCTTTGAAGTGCACAAGGAAAAGTATGTGAAATAAAGGCTTAGTCGGCCTAGTTCAAGACAACTGGGTAGGACCCTTCAGTGGGTGAAATCTAGTGGTTCAACTGCTGTGGTCCTTGTGGGATTCTTCGGTGTGTTCAGTTTCTCTAACAAGGGACACTTCTGATTCACCACCTGATGAGCACGGCAAATCGACTGTGGCATTGACATCAGGGGTCAAAGTTGAAGGGTCAGCAGGGTCGGACGGATCCTCAGTCACTTTTCCAGGAAGGTTGTCTCTTACGCCAAGGTCTGAGGGAGTTGGGGTGGGCTGGACTCCATCTTTTCCAGAAGGTGCACTGAGTGTTAAGAAGGAAAAATAGAAGAAAAATTCTTGACATGAGATTAGACATTTCAAGAGCAGGAACTTGTGTTGTTAGTGGGTCAGTAGGTCATGAGGCATGCCCTCATGCAGACCAAACTGTTGGAAAACACACAACTGCAAAGAAATCATCTTGTAAGTCGGGTGCTAACCTGCCCTCTTATGAAAAAAGAATAAAGTTGATACAAATGAAGGTTGCAAGGCAAGGTTCATTAAATCTATTCGAGGTGACCATCATGTGCATTACTGTCATTAAAGCTGAAGTGAAAATAGAAGTGAAAGTTATTGAAACTCTGATCTTCAATGAGGCCATCAGTGATGGAGCCATCTCCTGCACTGCACACATCCAATATTCCGTAACTTCTAATTCATGTGAATGACTCACTCTCATGTTTTTAATCATTATCAGTGGCATTCAGCCACATTTCCCGAGGATTGAATCCGAGTCATTAATGACAAAGCTGAACGTAAGCTGCAGTGAGAATAATGAGAAGCTAGTCTGAGTTTGACATTCAGGATACTAGACTAGCAATTCATGCCGAGAGTTAGGCTCATGTATCCCAACATAAACATACACATGGCTCTGGACACTACTTAGCATTCGCATACAAAATCAAGAGGGTTTTGCCCAAAATGACTGGCATCAAGATGATTTTGCATCATTCGGAGGGATTCAGGACTATCCAAACCTAACTGTGCTTCATGCTTTGATGTTGTCTTAAGTACATGTCCAAAGAATGAGATGATTTTGCAGATACAAGATAATCTCAGCAAAGCTCACAGAAAGAAGAGATCAAAGGTCAATCATGCCAACACACCATTATGTACACCTGTGTAGTAATAAACCCATCCCATCAAACAATCCCTTGAAATGCAACAAAACAACATCAAGAGTTTGTCTGTCTCATGCTGTAGAAACAAAAACTCTGAGATTTTTTTTTTGAAAGCAGACACTTGCAGTGCAGATACAAGGAAAGTGTCCCGCTTACAGTCAAGCGAACAGTGAGACTGCCCCACCGTACTGGTGGAGTGGACACTCGCGAGTCCCTCTGTCGACTCTGGTTTGGCGGAAAGACAATTGCTCCAGAAGGCTACACTGGGGGTCAAGCGGAGGTGGAGCTGTGGGAATGGGTGCAGTGGGGGACTGGTCAAGGTTGGTGATGGGGGGTGAGTGGACTGGATTTGGTGAAGTGGTGATTGTAATAGCAGAGGATGCCTGTGGAGGAAAATCAGAGGCTTGATTTGTGACCAAGTCCCACACAAAACCACCTTTATATAGCATCCCCCTCATCCAAAGCATTGTCTACTTATATTGAAATCAGCTTTTGTAATAAAAACCTGAGGTACAGATATCTCTTCTCAATTTCATTTGCAACTGTGAAATAGATAACCTTTCCCTTGTCTGAGTTGCACGTACGTTCCAAGATTTTGATGAATAGCAGCATTGCTTCCTAATGACACATTTTGTAAGATAACCATCTATTGGATAGCTTACCCCTTTCATATGTAACACCCAAAATTTAATATAGGCAACCTTTCTTTAATTTGCATAGTCTGAATTACATGTATGTTCCAGGACAGTGATGAATCATCAACACTAGTTAGTAATGACACATTTTGTGATATGAGAGATATGAGACAGCTTATAGCTCCTCTTATAATGTAACAAGAAATACAAGGAGAAACAAAGTATGTTGCTATCCGTCCTATGGAACACAAAATTATTGTCTACCAGCTCCAAGACCTAGAGAGATCATTATCGAACACTTTCTTGCATGGCAACATATTCTTCTACCCAGAGCTAAATGTCCCACTTTATGATGCATTCCCCCTCCCAATTCTTGGCCCTGCCCCTAGCATTGGTACAGACACTTTAGTGAAAAAGATGGAGTCCATTGTTAATGCTGAGAATTCCTGGGAGAGGAAATCTCCCTGGGAGATTTAATAAACCTAGTGACTGATCGAGTGTCCAACTACATGAAGAGGCACTCTTCAACCATCACAGGTTGAGAGTGTCGGAAGCTCCGTGCCTATCAACTTCCAATTAACAAAACCACTGACCACTTCACACACTGCACAGATGCACCACAAGAACAAGAAAAAAATCATCAAAGCTGTACCTCAGACTTGGAGCCTTTGAGTACCCTGTCATCGGTAGCAGTTAGAGGATCACCCTGTGAGCCCAAGAGTGGAGGAGGTGGGAGATGGTGACAGATGGCAAACCAAAGGAGAAAGAAAAAACGGGGAGAGAAGGAAACGATGCATGAAACTGGCAAATGGAAACTCCTCTAAACCTTCAAGGGATGCAGGCAGCATGTACAACTATTGCTGTACAGGATGTGATAAAGTGTGCGGTTGCTGTGATGTGTAAAGTAGTTGTCAAAGAAACATGACATGATGCAACTTGTGTAACAAGTGATTTTTACCGTTAATTGACTCCCACCCCAAGAGACCTCTCAACTTCTCAAGATTCTGATTCTGAATGTTAACGAGCATATTGAAATGCAGGATGTGAGAACTGACATGAAAATGGTTGAAGAGGGGAGTATGTAACCCATGACAATGTACTATACAGAACCAAATAAACTGAGAGATCCCCTTTCTCAATCAGAATTGTAATTGATTAATCGAGAAATAAATTGGAATGTGCAGTTCCTACACCATGCTCAAATTGGGCACAATTTCATGCACTCACTGCACACGTCTGCACCAGCAACACAAAAATAAATTGCCAAATGAAAAGAAATTCAACAAACTGCACACGATACGGCTACGATAATCACATATTCATGCCATTTCAAATTCTGATATATATGCATAACAAGGAACTATTGTAGTCATAAGTACACACAGAATGGCTTGGTTCTGCTTTGAAATAACAAAATGAAAAGCATTGGCACACACTTCATGGACGTAAAGCAGCAACACCTCTTGCCCCTACTCAAGTGAGCAAATTAAATGTGTCTTTTGGGAAACATGGTCCAAGAAATTAAATATGCTCACTCTGAGTGAGATAATTAAACATATTGAGCTTAAACTGATCTTCTTTATATTAATTTGAGCTCACCCAGACTTTTCATCAGTTTCTTTCAGCATTTCTGAGGAGCATTCCTGCCAATATAGAGGCAGTAACTTGAGGCACGTTTATTCATGAACATGAACATGAACTTTGGAGTTTGTTGGATTGGAGACATTCCCCAACTCTTCCATCCCAATACAAATCAAGATTTTTCTGTTTTTCTGCTCAGTAATTCTAAGCTTTGCAGAACTGTAATGGAACCCTCGAAATTTCTGACTTGCCCCCTTCAAAACTGGATCATAAGAATAATTTGAAGCCCTAATCCACAATTCTTTATAGCTCACATTACAAATGTACATCACTTATGAGACCAACGTACAAGGTTTTGGCTGGCTTTGTCTCCAAGCGCTACGTAGGTGGAGAACAGACCGGTGACCGACAAATGAAAGGGGGGAGAGAGAGAAAGGTAAGGGCCGGGTTTAGATACCACAAGGGATCAAAAGGGAAGAGGGAATGAAGAAGTAGTGAATACAATGACAAGATGTATCTCTCAACATACTTCAACAACATTGCATTTGTCACCTACTGCTCTAGACATCATGCTTGACTATCTGCAAACCTCATTACATCTTAGCTGATAAATTATCTTTCACGTTCAGAACAAAAAAAAGTCAGGCAATACAGTTGAACACTTAAGTGACAATGCAGTCAAACAACTATTTTCTGAGAGCAATGCAGTACTTTTCCTATTTGATCCTTGTTTTATGCAATTTGGTGATATCAAGACAAGTAGTATGATTGGTTGAGGCCACGTAAAAACACACTTTGAAGCAAAAAGAATGGCAAATCTAAACTCTAATCCTGTAACCTAATATTATGGGACAACTTCAGCATAATGTTCTAATTCACAGCTTCTTGGTTGAGACAGATTAAATAATGCAGTGGAAAACTACTGAGAGAAAGTCTCATGTCAAACGGTGAAGCATTTGCCAGAGGTTATGAGATGTAATTCCTCTTACCTTGACTGTATCTGGCCTCTGCTGGGGCAGCTTCTGCACATCGTCCACTTCATAGACTTTGATTTCAACCCCATCCTCGTGGCATTTGGGTCTGGGTGGCAAGTCCTTCCAGCGGTTGTTCTTGGCTTGGTGACTATCTGTAGCTGAACGGGGTGGGGCACTGCGACTTCGCCTGGACCCTGATGGGTGGTATTATAAAGTAAGAAATCCTTTCAATGGGTATCAGGTCTTTATCTGCAACAACTGTGATAGAATTGTTGGGATAAAACATTTTGATAGCGGTTTTGGAGTACAGAATTTCACACAAGAAATGCATGAAGCAGATTTCAGAAAACAACCATTTCCAACTTCATACCGAAGACATCCTGTCTGATACAAAAATGATTGTAACAGTCACTTTTCTAATTCCCTCAAAAGCTGAATGTGAATAGAAGAAGTTATCCACTGATTCAATGTGGGAAAGATACCAGTATGTGATCTATGATATACGAAGCACTTTATTCAAATTCCTGCAAGGTACTCAGACATTAAACAGTGCATTATGTTTCAAAACTTTTTCCCTCTTTGTCTTTTTCCCTCAACAGTTTCATAATAATACATTCATATTTTTGTGACAATTCCATCACTGTTTCAATTTTTAATTATTGGCTTACCTGGAAACTTCTTTTTAGGGAGTTTCGAGCTCTTCAGCCGACCACTAGAGCATTCGCTCATGGAATCATGACAGGATGAACCACTAGCTGTAGCTTCGCTATCCCTCAGCATGCTCTCATACCCACTACTCGCTCCACCACCAACACGGCACTTGGTCGCATTGTTAGAGGCTTGGCAATCACTTAACGTGCTACTATTATCACTACCATGCCCACTGCTGGAACCACGCAGAATCCGCGGCTTGGTCACGGTGGAGTACGGCGACAAGATAGTGCGCTTGGAAGGCGTAGGGACATTCTCGCTGGAGGCGATGCCACTGTCATTGCTGCCATCTGAGGAGTTGGTCAGCCTGTTCCCGGGTTGGAGCTGTGCCATACTGTTGTTTACATTCCGCAGCAGTGCTTGCTCTCCGGTAGTTCCAGTGCTGGTTGGGATCTTGGATGTTGGTGCTGTGGTCCCTGCTGCTGTTGACTTACTGAGTGAAGGTGCTGATTTACTAAGTGACTTGTTCCTGACTGGCAGGTTAGAGGACGCAACCTGGGATGAAGCCTTCTGGCCAGCTTTGGAGCCTGGTGGGCTGGCCTTACTATTGCCGCTCTGCGGTATCTTACTTGTAAGCGGTACCGTCTTTCTGGAAGACACCGAACTACTCTTGCTGGTGGTACTTCCACTGTCATCACTACGACTTGACTTTGAGAGTCCAGATGAAGCTTTAGACTTGGAAGACTTGATATTTTGTACATTCTTCTGTGAGTTGACAGATGTCAGACTGGTCGACCTAATTGGGAGCTTGCTACCTCTGTCTATTTTGGTTGGTATGGAGCTTCCTTTCAGTGACCTGTTCTCTGGTTTGCTACTACTTTTAGCAGGTGGTACAGGTATTCGAGAAGAGTCACTGGTTTTAGCAGCAAAGTTTTTTGAATTCTTGTGCTGAATTTCGGTTTCTGACTGAGGTAGGTGGGAAGAGTTTGTTTTAGGCTTCACAAGGCCTCTATTTGGTTTGCATGGTGCCTGGGGTGCTGCAACTGACCCCTCATTGTCCTGCTCCGACACTGGACACTGCCGACAAGTTATTATCTCATCCACTGATTCCTTGTCTGGTTTATCATCTAAAACTGGCAAGTCAGGGTTCACAGCATCCTTGATTAATGCATCATCAAGTTCCTGAGAGAAGCATGGATTAACTTCTACTTCAAATGCGGGAGAAGAGCATGCCCCAATTGCAGGGGGACGCTCCGAGCTGCTTGTAGAAAGGATTTCAGCCAATTCTTTCGTCTCTTCGGAAAGTTCGTACTGCTGGATTTTACTCGCAATGTAATTGAAATGACAGTCTGAATCCACCTCCTTGGCATCGGCCCCATCGGGCCTTCGTAAAAGCAAGATATCTCTGGATGACTGATCAAAGTCTCTGCTGTTATTGCGATGATGTCTGTACTCCATCTCCTCCTTGGCTCTGGAGATGGCAGCACTCAGGACCAAAGGGGACGGTTGGTGTGACAGGGAGCGTAGTCGAGAACTGTTGCGGGCATGATGCTGGGGGCTGTCATACTTGGATGAGGATTCTGATTTAGAGGCAGGCGTGGGGTTAATTTTGCCTGAGATGCTTGTTGCTTCAGATGGGGCTGGATCACAGCATTTATGAATGGGGGATGTGTGCACTCCCTTGGACTCGATTTCAACCAGTTTGATGACAGAGACACCTTTATTCTGCGTGCTCCTCTGAGGAGTTTGTATGGGGGTGCTAGTAGCGGACTGACTGAGTTGGGAATCCTTCTTATCTGCTAAATTGAAGAATGTTCTGTTATTGCTGCCGTTTGTTGGAATCGGCAGCACTTCCCCGTTTTTTGACAGCTGCTGGTCAGGGACTACTCCGTCCATTCGCTGCCAGACAGGGGATTCAGCCCGGAGGTCTGGTCTGGTCTGATTTCCATTAGGAGTCAAATGTGGCAAACACATCGCACCCTTTTCAGGATTAGTTCTTAGTTGCACACCATCAACAAATCCTTTGACTTGGTGATTCAGATTGAATGCCTGCGTCCCTGCCACCCTCCCTGAGCTACAGTTCCAATTCCTATTAGCGTCCCTTAGGCCGGGCGAACTTTCGTTTTTTGGAAGCCATTGTGAAGAGCTAGAGTTGTCAAGGGTGGATTCCTCATTTTCATCAACGATGGTGTTATCGTCGTCTTGCTCCATGAAACTTGCTGGCCGTGAAGTAGTGCTGAAAGTGGCATCTGTGGCATCACTGATGCAGCTAAGCCTCCTCAGTGGGTGGTCAATGGCAAGATGCTTCTCTCTCATCACCACTTGCTCGTCGTTGATAGTCATGTAGGTGACGACCGTGGCCTCCTCCTCCATGTAGCCTTCCTGCAGCTTCATCTCCGGCATGGTGATCTCGGAGCCTTCCAAGAGATCCTCATCGAGTAGAGAGATGTCCTCCAGGTTCAGACTGGAAATGACATACATGGATTTGATGGCTTCCAAGTCGTGACTAGCAAGGGAGACAGAATCAAAGGCTTCCTGCTCAGAATGGTGCTCTGAACGTCTCCTCCTTCGGACATGCCTTTCACCACCAGTCTCCACAATCTCTGACTCATCATCTGAGTACACATAGTGACCGATGTTCCCTACACTGAGGTTGGCCCTGTCTTCCATACCCAAAAGTAAATACGGCTCATTGACACAGCCATTTACGCTAGCTTCATTGAGACTCAGGGAGAAGTTTTCTGAGAAGGAATCAATTGAGCGTTGCTCAAGCTCTTTGATACAGCAGATTGCTTCTGATCCCATCGGGAGGTCATCAAGAGTCATGTTGTCATCAAAAGAAACTGCTCCACTAGTGTCCTGGGAAACAAAGCTCATTGTGTCTTGCTCCGAAAAAGCAATGGACAAGTCATCCTCCGAAACCTCAGAGATTGGTTTCTCCAGCATGTCTGAGAGGTTGTCAATGGAGCCAAGACATCTCAGGATGGCATCTGAATCTGTACTGCCCAGATTGCTGTGCATCAGCATCAATCTCTCTCGCACTGACATCCTCTTCTGACTGATGCCTTCCAGGAAGTCTCCATCCTTCAGGCTGTCACTGCCTGGGGTCTCTGGCTCCACTGCCCTGAGCTGGGAGCACAGGCTCTTGTCCATGTTGCGCAGCTCGGACAGTTCATCGTCATCATCTGACTCTAAGCAGGGCTGGACTGGCTTGTTGATCTGGGGCTTGGGTGGGGGTGGCGGGACTTTGCTAGTGCTGCAGTTGAGGAACAGTTTTGGAGGAAGGATTGGAGGGAGGTCCTTGTGTTGATCCATGCCTGCCTTGAGTCTCCGCTCTTCCTCCTTGCTTATTTTCTGTGTTTTGCCTTCCTGGTTTACAGATTCCCCCTCTGTTTCTCTTTCAACATCTTCCTCCCACTGCAGACACTGTACCTGGTCAAGAACAGCAGTTGTCAAATCAACTGACGAGGCTCTTTCCTCTGGTGTTCCCTTACCATCAGCTTCATCCTCCTGGCTTTCTAGTACTGTTGGCAGACCCTCTAGTGTCACGTCTTCCTCCTCAAGCAGTGCCTCCCCAGTCATGACTTTGCTCAGTCCTGGAGTCCTCCTTGGGGGCACTTTGGGCTTGGGGCTAACACTTGGCTGTGACTTCTCCTCTGACTGACATGTTTCTGCTGGTGATACTGAAACATTTGCTTTCATTGATGCACTCTGGTCATCCTTACTTGAAGGTGACATAAATGGCCCAGCTTCAGTACATGTACCTCTAGCAGCTGTAGCCTTCTCTATGGGTGAGGATGGCTGCTCAGATTTTGGAGCAAGTCTTCTTGTGGGTAAAGGAAGCCCACTTTTCTTAAATGGACTCACTACGCCAATCTGTGTGGCTGGGCTAGAAGCTACTGGGATTCTAGATGATGGGGCTTGAGCAGGTGTTGATGGACCTCCAGAAGGTTGTTGAAGTGATGCTGGTTGGCATGCATCCTTTTGAAATTGTGAAGATCCCTCTGGTTCAATCACTTCATAAATGGGATCTGTCATACTTTTGTTAAATGTCTGTAAGTCTTTAGCAACACTAGGAACTTCATCGACCTCCTCTTCATCCGATTCAAGGATAGGGGGTTTCCAAAGTGGTACGTGGGAGGGGGGTCCTTCATTGTCAGTTAACTCCCGATCACTTAGGGCACAGCCATCGGGACCACAGTAGATGACAGTGTCACATGACTGCTCACTGCTGGACAGGTACTCGGGCTCACTCTGGTTGAGTGCGTTGGTGACCTGCATGCCACTGGACTGGTGTCGCGAATGCAGTGGACGAACATGGCGCCGGATCCGTCCTTCTTCACATGAACTTTCACCGCCTGATGAACTGGTGCCAGAATACTGCAATGCAAGCAAACACGAATGTTAGTTTGTATCAGACAGCAGTTTTTTTTTAGGATTACACATGTTTAGGCTGTATTAACTAAAGTACGTAAATGACAACCAAGGCAGCAAGGATTTAAAAATATTCCATCATTTCTGGGCAGGTACTTCTATGATGGGTAATAAGAACTAAATCCCCTGTTGTACAATGATTTCATGACTGCAGTGAGTGTAACTCTTCCTCAGTGTGACTTGATGACGCCAACTAGAGTCACCACGATCATTTGAACTGAAAGTGGGGTTACAATATACAGGTTTGGGGATTCCACCTGATTTTATTTCTTGTTTCATTTTGTGGACAAAAGATTCGGGGGAATCCACGAAAATATCAGAATACACAGGAGTAAATCTTCAGAACACATGTACTTTCTAATGTCACTGCAAACTTTGCTTTTTTGCCTTGACAATAAATCAATAGGAATAAACATTGTCAAGAGAGATTTGAATCTCTGAGGTTTAAGGCTTGAGCATCTCTGGGATAGTGGCGCCAGAGCTAAGCCAGAGGAGTTACAGGACACTAAATCAATGTCATGTCAATGGTGACAAGGAAAACACAGCCATACAATAAAAATAGTAATTTATAGCCTCGGGGGACACTCTGTAATTTGAGAGTTGTTCCATGAAAATCCCAGGACACCCTTTTTGATAAATAAGTGTGCATTGGGAATTGGGGATTAAGTGCAGAGCTGGCAGAGGATTAAATTTGCCATTTTTATGACCAAAAATGATGGGAAATAATAAAGGGCTATAAAAAGATACTAAGAATGGATTCTAAGGGATTTAAGACTTGTGGCGCCATGCGCCTACATGTACATCACACAGTTGAGGTATTCAGCAATGTAATGGTCCTAATCTGACAGCTTGGCTAGGAAACCTTCCGCAATTTGTGCGGCATTTGGTTGAATACTTGCAAGCTTGTCTGTTATGGTTCCCATGTCTTCTGCTTTTCAGAGGTTTGAATTATTTAGTTCATGATTAGTTCACGAGGTCTCTTTGGTATCTTGCTCAACTGCACTTTTGCATTTCCTTCATTAACTGCGAAACTGAACATTACTTGAAAATGACTAGAAAGACAATGGAGTGACTGTCAGCAGACCCAGGGGTATTAACAAAAATGTCCCTCCAACAGGCTGGACTTTATAGCTATCCTGTGATATTAAAACATTAAGCGCTACCTCAAGACAGGAACTCAAAGCCTTAATTGCCTCTTAGTGTGAACCATGCCTCATCAAGGCATGGTTACACTGAATATCTGAATCATACAATTGGTAGAAATCACAATACACTATTGTACATGCAGCATACATCAAAGAGATCACAGAGTTGAAAATGACAAGGAGACTTTTTACCTTTTTATAATGAGTTGTAATGTGCTGCTAGGGTAACAGACACTATTTTGGGAATGTCTGGTATCTGATAGCTCAGATTCTATCTTTTCATATCAATCCAAATGGCACCACATTCACCTCCCCTCCTTCCCCTAGCCTAATGTGTCTACATCCATGCACCAATGATGATATACTGGTAATAATGATGGGCACAGTGTGCGTAATGAACAGCCCTCTGGGGCAGACTACAGCTTAGTGCTTTAGATATTCGATCAATCAGTCAGTTGATATATACATAGGCCAGCTTCCACTTTCTAGCCACAGTGTATTACATGTTGTTCATTGCTGTCTAGTCCCAATGTTTCCTACCCCTTTTCAGAATTTCTGCACGCCAGCATGTTTTTATTGCTATGATTATGGGGAGAGAGTCATAATCCCGTCTTCTGCTGGCGTCAGTCTTTCTCATTTCCTTTCCCGTACAAATACATTTTTTTTAATCATCTCAACTCCAGATTTATCTTACTGTGCCTAAATAGTCTTTGGACAGCCACAGGGTGTTCAACCAGAGCTAATGGAGGGGCGGACAGGTGGAGATTGAGGGGGTGGGACAGCTTAGACTTTTTGCTTGTCTGTATTGTGTTTGTTTCAACCGCACTGAATTTAAATAACTCCATTTAATCAGAAGACAACAATTTAGTTAGTCAGCTATGGCTAAAGTAATGCAGAACGCCTGTCTTGGAAATTGTCCAGCCATTCACCCTAGCTACAACACTCAAAATAATCCATTCTGGAAAAAGAATTCAGTTGTATAGGGTTTTTATTTTTAACAACAATTAAGTTTAAAGTCATTATCTGATCATTTTGGCACCTACATCCTGATCACTACAAAATCAACACCTGATCATCGGTAGTAAAAACAATCCCAAAATACATGTAATTAAACAACTCACTCAAAAGAAACAAAAGTGAACACAGACAGAAGCACACAACATAATATAATTTTACCAGGTTTTCCAACAATAGGCATAAGCATTACCATGAAGGTATGCTATATTTTAAAACACCACTGCAATAACAAGATTCAACTGACTCTTCAGTGCAAAATACAGCAAAGAAATTGTCAACCAGACTAGAAACTTCCTGCAAATTCTTTTGAAAAGCAGGAATTAATGAAGTTTTACACCTTTTCTAGAATCAGAATATTTTGACCCACCTTGGATTTCTTCTTCCTCATACGATGAATCCTTGAAGATAGCTGGATGGTGTTGAGAGTCTCTGAGTAGGACTGGATAGCAGAAGAAACGTGGGCGATCATGACTGTCCGACAGGACAAACTCCCCATGGCTTCCCGAAGGATCCTGGTTAGCTTGCTGTCCCTGTCAAAGAAAATGTCAAAACACACTCAAGAATCAGAAATGGACTACAGGTTATCACAACAGCACCATACATCCAGTCAAAGACTTGCCTGATGAGAGAAAACGTTTGCTTTTGCAGCATGGGCAGGAAACAAGCTGGAGGGCAAATTTCATGGTGCCTAGTGAGCACTTACATATTTGTGCTGACACAACTTCCTTCCAAATCACCAAGACTGTAAGCTGTAAAATCCAGCAAGGAGTACACTAACTAAACTTCAGGGGCAGAATTAGCTAAAAATAGTCACAACCTTGCTTAACAACCTCTGTGAACAAGCATTAAAAGCTCTCCACTGTGGCATACCTTTGAAGCAGTATGATGTTTCTGCTGTTTTATGACATTTCTACAAGAATCAGTAACAAATCCTGTGAGATTGGTTACAGTGTTTATTTACTGTTGAGTAGCAGGTTTAGTGAAATTTTTTTTTTAACTTTTCAAGGTTAAAAAATCCCTCTTTGAGAACAATACAGTATATGGGCCAGTTTAAAATGCCAACACATTGAAAATGGCAATTTAAATATTCTTGTACACACTGAAACAGTAAACTTCATTTTGCAAAACAAATTGTTTAGCCACATTGGAATCTTGAGGCTAAGAACTGGGTCTAGAGTCTTTGCTGGTCACACATACGCAAGCATATGCAGACAAAAGACATCGCCGTAGCTTTTTAAGTCTGCTTCAGATGCAAGCTTGGTTTTCTTTCCCTCTCCAGCAAAAAAATGTTTGACATTGTATCCCAAAGATCAAAACTATACCTACTTGTTAGGGATGTGCTTCTGGTTGTTCAGCAATGCCAAGATGACCTGTCCCAGAGCGGAGTACGACAGTGCCACACCATTCACAATCTTACCCCCACTCTTATCTCCGCTGCCGAGGTCAATCAGGTGAAGTCGACTCCGCCCACCAATGACACCTCCCTTGCCTGACTTGTCAATGCGATACTGATACACATGCAGTGTGAAAAGCATGTGAGAGTACTTGCTGTCTTCTGAGTCTTCTGTTTGAAATGACAAAACAAAGAGAAAATTCAGGAGATATTGACAAAGACACAGAGCAGAATGGAAGGAGAAATACTACATGCAAAGTTACCTGTAAAGAAGAGAAATATCAAATATAGAGGTGACCCACTATTCGCTGTAAGCACACCAATTCATGAGCTCAAATGACCATTCTACACACATTTCATGACACATCACTGTGCATGCCATAATATATTTCAGACATGACACATGTCATCCTCATTAAATGAACACTGATTCTCAACTGACCATCTGCAAGTAAGATTTAATATCAATGGATTGAATGAAATTGTTCCTGTGAAGAGACAATGCTATTTAAATCTGTCATTTTGAATCGATGGTCAAGTAAAAAGTCAACAATGCAAAACAAGTCTTTTGCTATCTGTCCCTAGTGGGACCAAGAGAGGGCACAATTTTCCTAGTGACAGAGGCTCCTTTGGTGGGAGCTGTACTTTGCTGGTTCATGAACGACTATAAAATGCATGCGTTATGGTTGCATCACTGCCAACAAAATGAACACTCCTGACTAACATGGCTCCTTTCAACAGACGAGAGGGCGCTTCTTTTAGAGGCAGGTACCCTAATATCCTTCCATCGTGGCTACTAATACTTTAACTACATACTACAAAGGCATTCTACACATCCGTTTCAGTCCTTCCATTCCAAAATAACATCCTTCTCAAATCCCTTAAATTAAAAATCCAAATACCATTACTACAAAAATAATTGTGAAAAAGTACATGGCTGGGGTAAAGACCTTAGCGCTTAATGTTAATGATTCCAGTGAGCAACCACCCAAACAAAATATAGTTTTCTTTTCCTTTTCCATTCCTCTGCGTTTACAGCATCATGCCCCAATTCTCATGGATCCAATAACATTGATTCAAACAATCCCTCTGCAGTTCCCGTACATGGTGAATTATTCAAATAAACAAAGGCTGTTCTGTGCCAGTTTCCAGACAGACTGTTGTTACCTAGACCTCTGTCGATAATTACAGTTTGGCCCAAAACGCTGCAATTTCCATTAAGGCAGCTTCCAATTTGCCTTTCGAATCCCCAGGATTACATGCAGGATTTGGTTGGGTACCGGTGTTGCATTTCAAAACATGAGGCGCGCGTAAACTAAGAGTTTTACAACCGCCACTGATTCACGCTGATTGATTTCACATCACTATATTCACATCCAATATCTTGTTCCTCCGCAACTTTGTTCTTGCTTTCTTCAATCATACCCAGGATGCATCTGAAGTCATTGTGAAAAAGGCTGTTCATGCAAGGCAATCGAGCCCATGCACCCAAGATGGTTTATCATTAAGCACTGGTTAAACAAACAGGACAACTGACTTGTTAACAGCAAGACAGTCTGATTTACATCATTCCGCTGTCATGCTGTTATCTCCAATCCATATAGGGCTGTTGTGTATGTTTGATTGCATGTGATGTTGATTTACTTTAGGACCATAACAACCATATGCCCGCTCTACATGCCAAAGAAAGTGATTTCTGAACCCATGATACAATCCTCAGTATGCCTTGCAGGCAGAGTTACATTTAGAAGGCTAAATTAAAAGTACAAGTACAAAGTACATGTACCCGTACATAAGTGTTGGGCAAACTGTATTGGGAGTAAATAAGTTGGTATCACCTGCAAGCATTCCATTGTATAATGTTGCTGAAATAGAAAAAGGGACAAATTCAACAGTTACATTAAAATGAACCAGGGTTTTATATTTCATTTTTTTAGTTTTGGCAGTGAGGAAATCAAACAACATCAGGATAAAGTGCACACAGGGAAAATAAAATCTCGACTATGATGTACATGTACAGTACCCGAACACACTGTACAATGCATGCAATAGTCCAACAGCAATCAAATGCCTACCAGAAGTTCATGGTACAATTGAATGTGCATACTTCAATGTGCACACAGGTTTAAAGGAGTGGTAAGATTGAATGATGTTTGTTGAACCAAATGCTACACGTATGTGAACCTCGAGTCTCTCCAATTCTACTTCCATTCATCTACTTTCAGTTTATACATGTGTTTACATGTACCTAATATCAACGGGCTTTTAGTTTTGCAATACATGCACAGGATGAATAACTGGTGGAATGAATGTCTGGATAAGCAACCAACTCTGAACTTTATGATTCATGGATAAAATTTCTGGTCAAAATATTCGGTCCGTAACACATCTTGACAAATGAGCTAGAGAACACTAAACATGACACATACCAACATTTGTTTGAAGTTCACACTGACCCAGCTTTTCAACAGCCGACAACCCGTGCTGAAGGATATAAATATCAAATCGGCCTCAACTTGTGAAATACCCATTCCAGCCGGGCGACGGTAAATTTTCCAGTGCGTGGCACTAATTAACCGTCGGAAAATACACACTAGGCTGAGTAATTGACAGCCGCTAAATCATGAATCGGACATACTCTCTTATGCTGGGCTGTCGGACACTACAGTACACATGTTTTAGTATAAGCTGACATTTCCTAATATGGCAGCTATCAAAAATGGGTATTCGCTTTAAAGAGCTGCTATTTATAAATGCATTTGACTCACAAGGTGACATCATATCCATATGTGCAAAGGAACAATTTCACAAAGTTTGGATCCTCAATAAAAATCTCAATTAAGGTGAGTCAAAAAGCGGTACCTTCTCCACTAACAATAAAAGCAGGCAATGTTACATTAACTGATAAAAAACATCTACCCAAGAGTAATTTGTGGAAACAGGAATATTTAAGATACTTAAATGAACTAAGATACATGTAAGATGTTCCTGTATTGCATCACCAATCTATATACATCCAGCCAGTGCACAGAGCAACAATCTCTAAGACACTTTTGTCTGGTTGTTCAGCAACAGACTAAAATGTGAAACATCAATGTCTGGAAGGCTCCAATGGTTCTTTGTTCAAAGGCAACAGACATGTTATCTGGGCTTTGAATCACAGACACTTGGCACCGTTCTGTGTTTGTGTTTAGTCCTATGGGCCTGTATGACGATACACTGTCTCCAGTGTGAATTAACCGTTTAGATGTCTGTTGATGTGAAAATCTTACCTTTGCTGGCTTTGTTCATCCTAGCCGCAACAGCAGCATCGAGGTAGAAGGCTGCCTTCTCGGCTGTTGGAGCACGTAGCTCATTCTGGTTTAGCAACTGAATGCCACAGATGGGATCTTCTTGGAGATAGAGAGCAGGGGAGGTGCCACACCCATTGTTGCTACCTGAGAGATATGAAACAAGGTATGATGAGTCTAAATCACTACAAGAAAAAGGGAAAACAAACACTCGAAATTGGAATGCTATCAAGTTAGGTGCTGGGAAAAGAAAACATGGATTAACAACAAATTAATGCTTGAACTTGGTCTAATTGGATTAACTGCACCATACTCATTCAGTGCATGTATGCACATTGTATTTTACATTTTCAAGTGTTTATTCCAAAGTCAAAATCCCTGTGCATGTTCAGTTATGCAAAGTATGCATTCCACTGACAATAAAGGTATACAGGGTATGCCAATATAGGCATACATATTGTGCTGTTGAACGTGCTGCTTGTCTTTGAAGCAATCTAGTGACGGGACATCTTCTGTATAATTGTTGCCGGTGCATACACATGGCACTGGGTCTACAAGGCCATCTACACATGATAACACCCTTGAAACAGACCATGTCATTGTGTGTCATGTGCCTCAACAAATTTTCCTTTGCTTTCATGTCATCGTCACCAGTCTTTAACAACAAAAATTATCAAGTATCAAGATTGAATGTTTTTACTGATTCAAGCAAATGTTTCTTAAAGGTAATAAATGTGGAACGATATGCAGATGTACGTGCATAATATAACAAACCACCTGGGATAACAAAGCACACACAAAGGCATCCATCTTTAATAGAGTGAACCAATATGACAGGAAAAATATTGTCACAGTGTGGAGCCAACTGTCTACCTCTGTGGATTCCTGTGAGATTAACGTGTAACTAACCTCTGTCACTTCAGGACAGGAGAGTTTAATTTTAGCTGGGGGGCTGTGGGTGAATTGCTTTTTGATCCCAGTAGAGTTCCAGTAAGGGGGAGGTGGAGATTTATCTCCTCTTTCTTTCTGGGGACCTGCTTCATTTGCAAGTGAGCAAAAAGTACAAACCAGCAATGTTTGTCTTGGGTTGGTTCTTTGTTATTTTTCATTACGAGAGAATTTTAATCGTTGAAAGGGAGAAAATGCAGACAGAGTCCACAGAAATTGGCTGACTAGACCCAGCAATATGCTGAAGTCAATGTGTCGAACTATCAGAATCTCTTGAAAAGATTTAAACTTGGACTGAGCCATAAGGTAACAGTGTCCATTAACAGCTGCCTTACACTCATCTAACAAAATCCTATCTATCTCTATATTTATTTATTTATAAAGCTCATACTTACTAAATTTTCAAACTATGATCTTTATGTTGTACAATTTAATTATCAAATGTCAATTATGTCATACTCATAGTAAAACTGAGGTGGGTTTATTGTGTGCAACTGGATCGTTTCAACATTCTAACATGAAAAATCAATAATGATGCAAACTGTGCTGTTCAAAAGGGTAAATTACAATGAGCGCTGAACTGAAGTCTTTGTTATCACAATAACATCACTTCACATGTAAACACATACTTTTTTTTGAATATCAACAGAATTTGTAGTCAGATTTTTATGCCAGACAGATTTGAAGTTGCACCTACCATTGGCCTGCTCAACCAGCAGGTCCCTCAAGTTCTCCTGCTTGCCGTAGACTTCAACAGCCGAGACTCGAACCGAGAACCTGGTGCTAGTCCTCTCTTTCTTCTCATTGATCAGCTTGAAGAGCCAGGCTATGGCACAGGGGATAATGCCCAGAGTGTGCGTGGACTTGTCACTGCCAACCATCGTGTATGTCTTGCCTACATGTATGTGAGACACACAGATTGGCAATTATCAGGAAACACTCAGCATGGCCTCAAACACGAGACCACAGTGAACATGACCTCATAGTTTTAATCCATGTACCTCTGTCCTACACAAATCCAGCTGACTCTTTATTTTGCATACAAGTACCCTGCCATTGACTTCTTGAACCGATCCAGGTGTAACAACCTTAACCTGCATGTAATGCTTTGTTGAATTGTGAAACCAGCTGTACAGTGTGTGATCATGGACCAAACATTCCTCTTCAAATAGAACCCTGAAATTTTTTCCCTGCTAACCTGTCAGGCAGAATGTAAAGAAAAAAAAATGGATCACCAAACAAGCCAGAGACCTAGCCGTGATGTTCAGGCAAATGGATAGACATGCAAAAAAGAGGTCATGGCTGTTTAAAAGGGGTGTGGCATAGATTCAGGAATTGTAAAAGGGACGCACTTACCCAGATGCGAATGGCCATAACAGAAGAGGCAGCCATCTGCTCCATTCACTACCGATGAGACTATATCTGAGACGCTGCCTGAACAAACTTCAGCCTGTAGCAGCGAGAGAAATGAGAAATATACATTACACACAGTGCTATGCTTTAAGAAGTTCAGAGCACCAGAGGGACTAGTGACATCCACGGCTATAGCCCAAGGGCCAAGAAGGATAAGAAAAACGAAAGCTGCTTCATGCAAATGCAAAGAACAACATCACATAACAAGCATGACGTAATTTGCAAAAGCTGACATGTGTTCGACTTATACCAATTCGTAGAACAAAAATTCCTACATCCGTACTTGAAAGTGCCTTAATTACCAATCTCTAATAAAGGACTTTCATGTGTAAAAGACAAACTGAACACGTTTTTGGGCCTAAATATCCCACTTACGATATCTGGCCAATGTGAATGGTGAATTTTACCATGAGATAATAAGCTCAAACAAAAGCAGCATTTGTTTCATGTCATCTGTTAATTCATTCAGTTTCTTTTGCTAAGAAAAACCGTTCTTCTTGAAATAATAATAAAAATGGTGGAGGTTGTCCAAGGCTCTTGGACCAATTGATCGAGCCCGGTAGTGGCTGTTGACAGGACAACCCAGCAAAAGTTACACCTAACTCCTGGTCACGTCCTTAAAGATCATCAAGGTGTGAAATCAGCATCAATATTCAATGAAATAGAATCCCTGCTTGGTCTCCCATGTGTACGCAGCTCATAAATGCAAATCGTGAAAGACATCTTGCCAGGGATATCGTGCGCGTGTGCTGGTGTTGTTTTGCCTGCCATGTCATTCCAGGGGAAAAAAAAGAAATTACAGATTTAAACTGCCACAAGCAAAATGTAAAAAAGAGCATGGAACAAAAATCAAGCAACGTGACAGTTTGCTCCAAAGCGGACTTGTGTGGGAGTATGCGGGGGGGGTTGACAACTGGCGTCACTGAATGTTGGGTTTGATATGTGGTCGTGATCACCTGGAGCAAGTACGGCTCGGTACGCAATCACCTTGAGACCAGCCACATTATTACTTGGCAGGTCAATGTCTCCCTACCCAATGAACACAAGGTGGTCATGTGGGAAACCAAACGTGCATGTGTATATAAGCATTGGCAGCAAGATGGGCAAGGCAGCACTGTGCTGGCCCAATGGGACTTCATTTCCAGCTGATTAATTTCTGCAAGAAAAACAACCGCAGTTTACCCAGCATTTTAAGTTATTAAACAGTGAAAATATCCCAAACTAATGAGAAATACTGCAACAATACTGCCATGTTTTAACCAGTAATGAATTTGGTTTTCTTTTTTTGGGGGGGGGCTTACCTGGGAGGCGTCTTGTGGAAAGATGGCATCAAAGGCAAACATCTTGGGCGCAGCCACGCCGGCCCTTCGATTGGCTGGCGTGATGAAGCCAGACAGGAAGGTAGGGTCAAACAAGGTCACTTGCTTCTTCTTGGTGTCCACAGTGACAAATGTAGCATTGTCTGTTGGGTTACCTGAAGGGACAACTCTCAGCATAACTTTCACCTGAGCACAACGGGGAAAACCAGAATAAGATATTAAGTTACACTAGAAGACATTCTGCTCTGAAAAATAATCAGAAACAGTCATGACATAATGCTTTGATGTGTTTTGTGCTTTGAAAACTCTTGTCTAATTGCAGCATACCCGGTACTTCTTTCTTTGCCACTTCAGAAAAAAAGTGCCTGGTTCATAAACATTTAATTTAAAAATCTTTAACAAATTTTACCTAGGAAATACATCGTGGGTATATCTCATGCATGTTCACCAACTGTGAACATTTTTTTCTAATTGTAGCACATTCCAACATCTCAAAAAATGCTCAATGCTGCCCCAACAGTTCTACCCTGTAACAAAATTTCATGGAGAACAGAATTTGTAGGCAACCATCAGACCGTTAAGTGTTGAGTAATTCAAGTGAGATCTAAGGTAATTTAGGGACAAAAGAAGGGTGCTGAGAGGAGACTGGCTGTCGCCTGCGGTGATTTAGTCGGTAACCTTTCCCTACTGACTGGCAGAATGCAGTGCAATAAACGACATGAAAACATAGTCTATGTCAACTACACCCACTGTAGGCATAGCAGGCAGAGCCAAATGCATGACAAACATAGTAATATGATCATCCTTCCAAATGGTTATTTCATCAGCTTTTAGATTCAGACAATCTTTATCTGTAGCTATTTGTAGTTTAGCTCATTCTGTGTTCCTCTTTCAGGAATTTTACAGGAAGATTTACATCTCATTTACGAAAGAGTAGGAGATTTTACACCATGAAAAGCAAGCTCACAACAGACTACAAGTAGGTGCATGTATTAATTTCTGCAAAGATGTTGAGTGAATATCCCCGAACTAAATAATGACTTCCATTCTAGTTGGCCGGAACCCAACTTAATGCATTCCTTTTGGCAGGGGGTTTGCTGCACAAACAGTATGCTACTGATGACATTGATGGGATTGTGAACAGCAATGTACATGTACAGCAATGTAGCATACAGGTAGAGCAAAGGGTATTTCAGCCCTGGTGACGCCAAGGAAAGCCGCTTGAACTCGACTCAGAATCAACAACTACCGGGACTCTGGGTCGCCAGCTAAACTCCCGCTGACCAACCACCGGCTCCCAGCGCTGCCCACTTACATTTAGCACCCATAGAGTTCGCATGACCTGAATCATTCTGTTTGCACTTCAATTCTGCCTTATTAATTTCTCCTGTTCAGTCCTCTGAAGCGGCTAATGTGACTGCTTTTGATAGACATCCCTGTCTACAGAAAGGTGTCTCGGGAACACAAATAAACACTGTGGCAAGTTCTACTTTGCAAGGCAGCTGTACGTTTTACCCTAAGATTGGGTGACACCACGTTACAAGGTAAATAACAACATAACAACCGAACATCTACTTATATCTGGCTGAGTTGATTATGTCTCTGCCAACTCTGTCTATATCATATCAATAGAAGTTTAGAAGATAACCGTGCAGTTCAGGGGGGGTGGTTAGATTTACATCTGAACAAACTTGAATATGAATCATCAAATTTGCAAATGCATCTGTCTGTTTCACAGGGAAGCCATAACTCCTTCCAGCAGAATGGGAAAAAATATACATCATCGTGTCGCTTTCAATTTCCTTGATCATCTCAGACACAGCGGATACATGACCGCAGTTCAATGTGCAGGAGTCAGTGGGTAGCCACTTCGCTACACAGTGACTCTCCATCACTTCCCACCAGTGGGTAATATACATGTATTGTACAATGCTGAGATGTTACACAGTTAATTGTTCATTTCCTGCTGGGCGTCCAAGTATAGAAAAAGCCCCTGGGAAAACCCACAGGAGCCCGCAGGGTCAACAACTGCATCTGGCTGATTCACTGTCGTCTTATATTTTCCTCCTCTTTTGGAGATTGTCTAATAGTTTTGGTGTGATGTACAGTTAAAGTCTGCAGCTGGACAACTCAAATGCATAAGAGTAGCTTTGGGCATGTTGGATGGTTTTCAATATTTCATTTGAAACAGCTTTCATTCAAATGTGCTGCCACTTAAAAGAATCCCATTCAAATGCACACCAATTCACTACCAGTCATAAGAATTAGTCGTGGCAGATCACAGACCACAAATACTCTTAATTGAGTAGATCTACTCCCCCATTAGATAATGAATGATGTATCACAGCTGTCATATAGTAAATGGGTAATTGCAGAAATTTGGGGTCCAAAAGTGTAACATTTTTGTGCCCGTTACATCTGACCTTTGTTCTTTGGCATGGAAATACATCACTGGAATTGATTTCAAACTATTACTTTTCTTTGGCAGGTAATTTGCATTAATTCATCACTCTTGGAAATTAGAAAATGTATTCTGAACTTACATAATCATATGTCAGATGTGACAGGGACATGAAAAATAAATATACTGTATATTACTCAGCTTGAAAGAGTAACAGCTTCACAGGGTGGTGATATTCAAATATTGGAAAATCATGTTGAACAGCTTGACCCTTTAAAAAAAATGGGCTGAAAAAAGACGAAGGATCTTCAATCCTCAATAACTAATATCTGAGACAAACGAAGAAGATAGGGAAGCCTTTTCTGCTAATAGGGGATTTCATTTTGAAAGCAAAAGGTTAGGTCTACATTCTCCCGAGTGTATTTGTACAAATGTTCAAAACTCGTGCAAGCTCGCTGAGGACTTGGACAGCTAGTTCTATTTGAACAGTGCATTCACTGCAGTGGGTCAGGCCGAGTTCCCATGCAAGGAAAAAATTTAATTTCACAACTGTCAAACATTTCCCGAGGTGGCAAAATTCCATTGATGGGATTGGTGCTGGGCTTTGGGATATCTCCTCATATATGCTTGGCTTATTCTGACAAGAGGGCAATCGGTTATTGTGACCGTGAAGGCCAATAATACCATGAATGGCACGTAGAGGAGAAAAACACCCATGAATGTAAGAAAATGAAAGACCCAGCAGGTATTTGGTTAAGTGAGTGTGTGTTGGGCCCAAGACAGAGGACTTTAGAAAAGCTCCTAGGCACACATCTTGACTTCCGAAATGCCAAAATAATTCATTTGACTGATGGAATTCAGTCTCGGACAAGTGGGGCTTGGCCCGCGGCTGGGTGGGGAGCAATACAGATCAGCTGACTAACCCTTAGTGCTACGCAAACAACCACTGGGAAATTTAGAATTTGCCTTGGTTGCCAAAGGGAGGAGGGGTGGAGGCTTACATGCAGTCAATGCACTAAACAGAATTCAATGACATACAATTGAGGATTTAATGAAAAACCTGCCTCTATTCATGGAGATGAAGGAATTTCTTGGTTTATTAAATACTGCAATTTAATGGGAGCGTTTTGTGTTTTGTAACTCCCCCCCCCATAAACTTCTTGCATTAACCAAAACAGCAATACATGTACCTTACAGCTCAGAGAAACTCTTTTAAATAAAATGCCTCAAAATATTTTGGTTACAGAATGTGCAAGAAAGAACATTTAAAAGTTCTAAATCATTACTAGGTTTTCACCTCTATTAAGTCTCAGGTGAAATGTAACAATATGTTGATGGTCATTCGGCATATACAGTATTATTTGCTCTAAAATTGCATTATAATGAAAAGTGTTAATTGTCTTAATTCTTTCCCTAAATCTAAACCCTATCGGCTTTGACGCTTTTCTCCAGATTAAATACACGGTAGATTTAGGTGCCATAGAAACAGTGCCACTGTCTGTACACACTGATGATAGTTATTTGGTTGAATGAATGGAGCCGTGGGGCCTCAGGAAATATGGCTCACTGAACAATTTTGAGAATGACAGAAAATATGAGCAGCCTACAAATAGTCATTCAACAGGACCATGAGATATCAACTTATTTCAGTACACTCATCCAACCAGCATACACCGAGAAAGAATGGAGTTCAATTGTCTCTGGTCTGATAGGATATCTTTAAGCAATGAATGTTGCTGGTTTTTATGTCTAAAAAATAACAACTTGAAAAACAAAGCCCCAACTACCTGTACATGTAATCTTCATGTTGTCAGAAACACACATAGAAAGATGGACTGGATGATCCGAAGCCTACATGTAGGGCTGAAAATAAAGATATATAATCGCCTTGTTGGTGGAACACAGGTGCCTCATATTGGAAGTAACAAGTTCTATCCAACATCATGCAACTATTTCATCCACTTGGCCAAGTACACGATGGGGAGAGGTTGGTTCAATTGGCTCATGCCATTCATTTCATTGACAGGATTAATGACTGTACAGACACATTTACATGTTTGGTGTCCATGATCCTGCTTGATTTGGTGAAGATCTGATGTAACACCTCTGACCTCTGAAACTGTTTTTTAAAGTAAATTCTTAACTGAGTATAAAGCCCATAAACCCATCCATAACGCAGGTTGTAAGATTACAAATAAAATCAATCATTCTCAACAGAAAATTTGCTTCCATGGCATTGGCAACCAACTAACATTATCCTTTGCACGTTATAAGGTTTCTGCTTTTCTCTGGAGGTGCACATGCATGTCAAGTATTCACAAAGGCAGGACTGCAGACAATATGGAATGCTCAGGAGGACAATTTCACATCCACTGCACATGTTTGACAAATTGAGACATGGTGCCTCATGGAGCTAATTTTCCTGACAAGAATGGCCAAGAGGATGGCAAAAAAGAGAAATTGGCTCTGACTGATGGCATGGTGTATTACTCCATTCATGTCCTTGTAGTTTCATTCGGAGATTAATCACTTGGTAATTTATGGTGCATGACATGATGTAATAGATAGGAGATCACGCAGGACTACATGTACATGGCTTTTATATGTATTCAGCTTTCTCGCACACAAAGAGAAATAGGTTAGGTTTCTCTATAAAACGTTTAACTGCCTGTTCCCAAATTCCCTAATAGATTCTGCAGAAATTTGGTCTACCCAAGTAATGAAGGTTTCAATTGGGTGTGCATAACTTGTAAAATTGGAGGGAGGTATTGTCATAAGTGATAAGTGATGTAAGAACATTCAGGTGAATACCAAAAAGTACATGTATACAAGCAGGCTATGTTCTGTATACACCCTACGATAACTGTAAAAATGTAATAATGTGAAGGAAATATTAATACATGCTTTGTTGACATACCAGTACTTTCCAAATGGTAAAGAATTTGTGAAATAACAACAGTGATCCTAGGACAAATATCTGGAGTTGTGCAAGGAACTGATCGTGTTACAATTCAATGAGAACCATATCCATATTTACATTTAGTGAAGTAAATCCTACAAAAGGCGAGCGTAATAACTAATAATCGGCTGCATTCCTCTCAATACACTGCCCTCAAGTCTTACTCAATTCCAGGTGAAAGACTGCTTTACAACCTTCAGATGGCTATAGATGTCTGAACAAAAACATTTTGCCCACTTCATCCAGCACCCAACGAGTTATCTAAACACTTCAGGATGGCCCTGGGTTACACCTCATTGAAGGTTCCACACCGGAGTTCCGGTTTACCCACGTTTATTTGTCAAACGGTCTTTCTGCTGGCAAATTTCTTCACAATTTGTGCTCCCTAAGGTTCTAGAAGAGCTGCGATAACTACGGAGATCTGAACTGAGAAAAACCCCTGGTTAAGCAGCAACCTGGTGAGTTCTTGTGCACTTTTTCTGTTGGACAACCACTCGAATGAAAATTTAGTGTGACATCATTCAAAGTCCAAAGAGACATATAGGTACCATGCTTATCAATATGGATGTAATTTTAATTTAATATGCATTGCCAAAAAGGGAGAGAGCAGCAGTGAATAAAAAGAAGTAAAATACAAGAAATATGGAGGAATCCAAAATGCCAACAAGGAAAAATACAAAGAAAGTATATACAACCGCTTAGCATCAATGTGAAAGGACCAAACAAATTCACATTTAAACTAAAAATGACCAGCTCACAGCTTAAATGTATCAAATATGAGTGAGCTGTCTTTTCATGATCTGGAGGGAGGGTTGTTGGCAACATGACATCAAATAAATATAAACATCCATACACACAAGTATGGCATGACTGCCTACGTGAAGGCAGGGTCCATCTTGGCATTCATCAAAGACACCACTACTGCACATGTGCTTAATCCAGTTTTTCAGAAACAGTGCTGTTGAACAAGGCAAACTTCTCAGTGACATCAGGACGCTGATTACTACGTCAATCCTCCTACCTCAAGAGATGCTGGAGTGGTACATGGAACTGGAGATGAGATGGACAGCTCAACTGAGCCCCCATCAATGAGCTGGACAGACTGACCGTCATGACCTTGGGTAGAATGACCAGGCCCCACTGAATAATGCAATTAGCATGCTATCACTGCCTGTTTTTGTCTTTTCTCTAGATCATGGGAAAGGTGCAAGGAGTGGGAATTGGCAGAAGAGGCAATGAGAGGTGGTGTCAATTGAAGGGTTGGTTGTTACAAACAATGCCAAGGTGAGACCTCTCCAGATGAAACATGAGAGGTACCCTCAAAGAGGGTTCCCACCAATACAGTCCAAATTTGATTTTCTCTGCAAAACGTTTCTATTTAGAATTTCACTCTCATTTGGTACTTTCATTTAGGCATTTAAAGTTACATGTATTTTTTTCTCAATAAGTGCCTATAAATAGTGTACTGTACATATTCTCTGACAAAAAAATTGAAATCCTAGATTCCAAGATCACACATAAAACTTTCCCTCAAAAGTCCATTGATCACAGCAGGTATTGTTGCAACAGCCTCTTCCTATCATATAAAGACAGCATAAATAAAAGATACTTTTCCTTCTTAAAGTCAAGGAATTTTGGCACAGATGTCTGTAAACTGCATCTTCTTCTCAAATCATAGATTGTCTCTTTTAAACTACTGACATATCTTGTTTGTCAATGCCCCTATCTAACTTAATCTACTGACAGGCCCAGGTAATTATCTTCATGTACATCAACTAGTAAATTTATCATAGGGCTCCCTTCTAAAGGCCAAGTGCATTCCCATGAGCATGAAGAAGCTTCAACTCTGCCCGGAATTGCTGAAACCATACTGGAACACACAACCCCTACCCAAGCATCACGGGCCCAGGTCCTTTGGGTGGGCAGCACTAATGGCCAATTTCTTCTCTCAACAGAGAGTTCCATCTCAGAGGTGCTACCATAAACAAATATGGTCAGGCTCTGGGAAGTGTGGGGAAGAGGAAGTTTGGGTAAATCCTAATGGGCTGAAGTTGCTCAGTAAACAGAGAGCAACAGGAAGCTTGAAGACAGGCGGCACATCCGTTACGCACCTCCCTGAATGATTGACATAACTAGTCGGTAATGATCAGATTTATAACTTATCATCAGCAAATACTTTAAGAGAAAAAGCAACATCACAACTGTAGTTTCAGGATTATTGCTACGATTTACCATTATTAAACGGCAAAAATTTACAGACTCTGGCTATAATAAGGACCAACCAGATTTGGTTCAAATTCAATATTATTTTTTATTTCCCATTAATGACAGCATGTTCATGTTTCATTTCACTAATTTCCTGCATAAAAAGTTGCAAAAAAGTTAATACCATCAAGAAATGAATGAAACTGCACAGCAGCCACATGTATAAGGTTCATGGGTAAGAATTTCAATCCTCCTTTCAACAGAACCAAGCTACTGAAAGTGAGAACATCTAAATTGAATAAATATTATAAATAATTTCAAAAGTTTTCCACACAAACACAGACTCCCTGGAACAGACAATGATTGTTGCCATGGTTTTCTCACACTTCAGTGGCCAATGAAGCATTCTAAGTGAGTTTCAGTGGAAAGGATTCGTAATTTGCATCAACACTTTTTCGCATCACTTGCATTGCCAGAATGGAATGATGGCTGTCCTCATGCAAGCATGCAGCACTGAACATGAAATGGCTTTTGAAATGTTTGGAAAGACAGGAACCCACAGCTTGGTTTCAAACAATACACCCTTGATTATTGTGTACGCAACAATGCTCACTAGGCAGAATAAAGTTGCAATCTAACAGTAAAGTGTTCATGAGGACGCTAAGAGACAATGGGAAATCCATTAGTTCAACACTTCACATATTTCTGGGAACTTGAAGATTCACCTCCTAGACCTGTCTTTTTGTTGCCATGTCTCCGAATGGGAAATCCAGGGAGTTGTCAAGAAAAAGAGGAGTACAAACAAAGATGGGCGATCGATTCCATCTCCCTCTTCAGATTTTGGAGAGGGGTTACAGATGATGCCCTCCCAACAAGGAGATTAGGGGGATTACGCTGTGGGGTGGGTTAAAGATTTGGACATGCAAGACGAATGTGGAGCTTCCCTCAAGCTACATTTCGATAAACAAGCAGCCAGGAAGAGACAGAGAACAAAAAATACGGGGCGGGCTTGTTGGCGGAGATTAGTTCTAATCTGCATCAATACAAGATTTGTTTAGGAGGTGACTCTTTGTCAACGAAGTTAAGCTTATCGGTTTTGTCCATCAATAACAAGGGGGAATTACAAAAAAAACAGGGAGAGACTGGGAGATTCAGTTAAAGACCCAGGCATTCTTGCTCTTGTTGAAGACTGCTGTTGACAGCCAATGACCCTAGGGCACATCGTTAGGGACACTGCTCTGAGAAGGGGAGTCAGCTCAGAGTATATTGAACCATCTCACAATAGACATCAGCTGATGACATCCAACTAGTGATTGACACCCATAACATCAATAGGGACATAATCATGCAGGAACATGAACGTAACAGAGACAAATCCATGTAGCTTTACATTATCAACTCAGCTTAAACATACAGACTCTAACTGATGACTTAGAACTTAAGTTTAAATTCCCAACTTGTGCTTCATACTTCAATACACCGGTCTAAGGACATAACTACCTTCCTTTCAGCATTAAACAAGAAATCATCTCAACAAACAGTTCTAAAAGTTGACAAATCAAGTTTGTTACTGATGATTTATTTAACTGCTAGTTTCAAAAGTCTTATGGAACTCCTACAGTGAAGTTGGGATTTCCTGTATCAGTGACAAAGACTTTGGTTGTACACGTACATCAATAGGCCATCAATAGGCCGTCTCCAATGAACAAACCATAGTGGTTCCTTGCTCAGATAATGATGTATATCCTCAATTTGGGCATTGACAAATTTGAAGGGATACTCCAGCAGACTGCAGAAAGGGGAGAGCATTAGGAGTTACAATGTTCTGCTTGGGACGGAGATAGAGGAATCTCCTGAACCAAAGTTAAAAAATGAAATTGAACCCTTACCTTGCCGACACCGGGGTTGTCTTTGACCCGGGCCACATTGCGGAGCAGGGATGGGGGAGCCGAGGGTGGGGACTTGGCGATGACCTGGCTGAAGTTGGTCGGGAACAGCGGGGGCTCTGGCTCCCTGGTGTGGGGATCAGGGACAAACACTGGCTGCCGTAGCTGCTGTTGCTGAAGCTGCTGTTGCTGTTTTCGCTTCTTGGAGCTGAGGTTCAGCTTCTGAGCTGCCCTGTTTTTCGTAAAGACACAAAAGAAAAGCATGAGTTTTGACTTTTCTCCCTGAAATCAATTTAAAAATCAGTCACAGTTCTCAAATGCTATTAATGAAATAAAAACAAATCAAACAAACCAAAACACATCTGTATTTTGCATCACACTTTTGGTACCTGTTAGCCGATTTTTGAGCTGAACAAAGGGCACAATTTTCCAGTTGTGCAAACATGATTATAATTGAACTGCCCACCTTTGAAGTAGAGGAGACACCCATTAATGGACTGAGGAGATATCTTAGTCCACAGTCAAGCCATAAGAATAAACAATCTCAAAATGGCATTGTTGTCGGTTTTGTTAAAAACACAATCAAAAACCAGAAGGTCCTGTTACCAAGAAGTGGGCAAACTGCAGCATATGGTAAATGTGAAGGAGCTTTGTGTATATGATTGTTTTGATATCTTTTATGTGCATTTTGTAACCGGAAAGATGGTCAAAGAATGAATGATTTTACCACACATCCCCTCTATCACTGTTATCAACGACTGTCCAGAATACCAAATAATACATAACACAAAAATCATGTATGCTACAACAATTTTAATCTGTTATGTTATAGCATTTGGTTTCCCAATACAAAATCTTAAACATACAATGAGCAAAATAACAGAAATATGCCAAATTACATACTTGTGTGTTTGATAAGGTTCGCACGTGAGCCTGAAGCCTGACCTACTTCTGTTATGCCTCAAGCTTTGTGTACATATCAGAGACGCCAACCCAATCCTTAGGAGAACAACACAACTCCACTATACCTAATGTGTCCTGACAGGGGAAGCCCAAATCCCACCCCCAAAACTCCCTAATTGTGTTAATTAATACAGCTTTCAGCTCCTCCTCTGCCCTCCCTTGCCTGATGTACTTATCAAAGCCTTCCTCAAGGGTCATGATACAAGATAGCTTGGGGGCTGATTGTGGCCTTGTCAACTCAATGCCAAACATCCCCATCAAATACCGGGTAGGAGAAAGGATTCAGCATGCATTAGGATCTAGCCCCTATTTTGTGCCTGGAGCATAGAGCCTGGAGGCAGACAGCAAGAATTCAAGATCATTTATCCTGTCCGCTGGTCTGATGGCCAACAGTACAAGCTAAGTATCTTCCAAAGTTACCAATGAAACAGACTCCAAACCAGCCTCATCAACCTAAAACCTTGCTTTGATGGAGCCACATAAAGGTGAGAATATAATAAAAAGTTTTGCATTTCTGAGTCAGTGCTCCTACAGTCAAATACAGCTTATGCAAACAGACCCGTTTAGTGCAGAGATTAATGGTTCTGATAGTGGCCAGTCTACAAATACTGTCACAACAACGATGATAACAACTCATATCAGAGACACATATGCAGTGATGCACTACCCTGGTAGGTCTAAATGAGATGGGCAGACTGACAAAATTCTCTCAGGCAGACATAAGGCTCTCCTGATCATATAACAAGGAGTTTGCACGCCAATCCAATTGATATGCCACATTTTGTTTTGCATGAGACAAGACCCTGAATGATGAGAAACCAAAAAAAAAAGGATAGAACTGACATCATTCCAATAGATTTGACATGAGATGCCTGCAAGAATTTCACAAAGAAACAAACCATATACGGTACAACCATGTCTGATATGCTGGTACATGTACAATGCGGTACATACGACATGCAACTCATTTCAGTTTATAACATGACACTACATTCTACAAGCAACCAGTGTAGTGTACTATTCTGAAGAGCCTGTGCTGTCTGACCAATTTTATGCTTCATCACAATTCTATCAGTCAAAGAAGTTGTTGCTGGCGAGGGACTACTAAGTGAATGACAGTGCACATCAACAATTCCGGGGCAAAATAAGATAACACGCCTAAGACTAGTAAATGTACATGTACTTACTCCAGCATGGCACCACTGGATGAAAACATACTGGATGTGACTGGTGGAGATCAACCTCCCTGAAGTCCTTTTCAACTGTCAAAAGTGCTGATATATAACTTTGTTTTTCCACCACTGCCAGAGATGAAGTTCACTGAGATTTACACGAAAGTACACAAGAAGTCCTGAAACAGTGACAAATCAGATCATTGCTGTTGCCCACGACCAGCCTCTAACAACCCCACTGGATCCATGGATGTTACAGTCCAATTCCAGCCAGAGAGTACATGTACATTTCCTCACGGTTCTCAGTCAGCCAGTGAATGAAGCAAAATTAATATAATCCCAGCACAACCCATGCGCATCCACAACCAATGACAAGCCTGGTGCGGCATTCCTGGAATGTTGCCTGGCTGTAAATCTGAACCATCAAATGTCACACTTGGCCAGCCCTGGCCCAGCCAGCTGGCAGTCAAAAGTTAGTCTTGCCCTTCAGCCCTCCAAAAAAATTGGACTAGAAACTCTCTCCTCTTGGCCTTTAGATACATGAGCAAGGACAAATATACACACTGTCAAGGATGCTGGAATCTGTCAACAGGTAGCATGCATAATTATCTTGTTCTGGGATGAAGCAATGATTGACTGACTATCTCACTGACACTACCCCAGCCTCACACTGCAGGCAATTTATAACTTTGTCCCAAACTTAAATTCTTTTCCACTAATCACTTGGACTGAACTAATGACTACTATAAATAATACACGTACATGTGGATGCTTTGGTACAAAGTTCAATGTGAAATGTAACTTTTTGTTGTAGCCTTAGGGGTGGGACGGCTAAGAAATAAATTGCAGGCAAAATTAAGAAAACATAGTTTTGAAGGACATGATGATTATTTGACAAGTCTTGTATTCCAACACTTATCTTCACCCACTAATGCCCTATCACTAAAAGAGTGTGGTTATAATCCTATCAGTATAGGTATTCCATAGCACCAGAGGGATATATTGCGTGTTTTGTTCATCATTTGTCACCCTTATATCTGTGGATGTCAGACAGATGAGCCGGACTGGCTCCACCTGAACCCATCAAGGGGAGTCTGCGTTGTCACAGCTAAACAGCCCTACTCCACTCAGCAAACACACTTGCCCATTAAACTGGGCCAATATGACAGTGATAAGCGCTTCCTAATTACGTGCACACACTGAACTTTGGAAAACTTCAGCCCTCCTCCATACCTGGGCCATTATCAAGTTCCGATTACTTTGGCACAGCTGTGCATGTCTCTGACAGCAGGTGTAGTAGAGGCTGCAGCACAGCCGTTATTTGAGAAATTTTGCATTATAAAGTGGCCTAAGGTGCTCCTGAAGAAGAGAAGACCACCAGCAATGAAATGAACAAAAATGGCATTTTTACAAACATTCGTAAGGTATTCATTAGGCACTGCTCTTAAACAACGTAATAAACAATGTGTACCTTGTGCTGTCAAGAGGGCTCAAGAAAAAAAACTCAGGAAAAGAAAAACTGATTCAACTAGGAATGGATAAAATGTAGCTGATGTTCTCAATTTTCAAGCTGTCTTAGCAAACTTACAAGTAATGAACAGTTCACAAGGTGCACAGTTTGTTCCACTCGGAAAGTTAATTAACACAATATACAAAGGCATTCCAAGCAGTCATGAAGACCTGGCCAGTCTCTCCACTGGCATTCTACTTCTCAGAGTTTTTGCAAAAAGACAAGCATTGAAGAATGTAATTCTGACACAGCCCTGACAATCTAAAGGCATGACCAAACAAGGATATTCAAGATAACCTATTTCATACTAACACAATACTTATCAATTTATCACTGCTATTCTACCAAACACTTAGCCATGGGTATGGGGCAGACAATTGCACTATCATGGACCCTCAAACAAGTTTTGATAACCTATTTTTGGGACAAAAAGTCCTTGCCAACAAACAGCACCTGCAACAGGCTCTAACCCGCTTTCACAAATACAAGGGCAATAGCTGAAGTGTCTGCCCCTATGCACATTCACTGCAAGCTACAGGGGGCAGCAAACAGCCGCCAACCAGCCAGCTGACCAACAAGCAAGCCAACTGGCCAGCCATCGGCCAATTAAGCCAGCAAACTAGCTAGCCAGCCAGCCAATCAGCATGCCAGCCAGCAGGGGAGCGAGCCAACCAGTTTAAAATCAACCAGTCAAACAGCCATTCAGATGACAGTAGAGAATTTGGGGGACAACAACCTTGCTTGTAAAAAAGTAGCACGCAACCAAGGAATACAAAATACTTGGTAAATCGTGGTCTACCGACAAGTTACGCGACTGATTCAAGTTCAAGGCCATTGTTACTCTGTACAAAGTACAAGCTCTTCAGCGAGGGAATTCTTTTTTGACTGAATTACTTCCCGAAAGATTAAAACAGACCCAACTCATTAACAAGGTGCAGCCAAATGCTGAAAGGTGGATTTGTTTTGACAGTGATTTACCAACAAGGAAAAAGACAGATGCAAGTCTAACTCATACAGGTAGCACCTACTTTTCCACTTTCTGCCATTGCATCCACATACCTTCATGGCTTATCATCCTCAATAACTTCTCAGATAATGAATCAAAGAATTCATACATTCATGGAAGTCACATTTCAAATCAATACGATAACAGGTTACATTGCGTGACAGGTGCTGAGACTTCCTGATTGACAATTGATGTTCCTCCTTAAAATGACTAACAGTCAGCCATGACAGGGCTCAATGACTCCTCCAAATTCCTTCAATATACTGGGGAAGTTGGAGACTTCTGGTTTGAAATTCCCCGAAATTGATACATAGAAAATCACCTCGTCATAACAAGGGTTCAGCTGGTCATGCTCTGTTTCTTGCATCAGTCAGACATCAATAGTTATGACAATGAATATTTGTTTGCTTTGTTTTTATTTTGGGGTTTTCTTCTTGTCAACTTGCAACATCGACTTCATTAGAAAATAGAATTCAGATTTCTGAATATACGAAAACATACATGTGCTGTCAAATCCCAAATTTAGACCTGTACTGATCCTCTTCTTGTTTCTTCCACATTTTAGCCGTAAGTCCCAGGCT